CCTCAACATATTCATATTATCACTGACTGTGTAGATGTGACTGTTCTTCACTATAGCGTATAAGGCTGGGATGTGATGGTTTCTCTTTATTGGGTCGCGTTTATAAATGAGATTCTCAAACGCATCATATATTCTCACTTGCAAGTTAAAATGTTCAAACACCTTAGCCATATCTGTTATTGACGCCCCCTTTGTTTTAAAACCTTCTTCCGTCTTATTTATGATCTTTAGGATGGCTTCTTTCGTTAGTTTGTTCTTCTCTCTCTTGTGATCTCCCATAAGGGTATCCTTATAATAATCCGTCAAGGTGTTAAACCAACACTCGTTCTTAACATAATGATCTAATTTAATGGCTTCCTTAAAGGTCTCATACTGTGGATCTAAGGGTGTCTGAATATATCTGTGATACATACTGACATTCACTGTGTTTGTTAGTTCTTCGTCTTGTGGCTTGAAAGCATCGGCGTTATCTACCCTTTCGGCATAATTAACTTTAATACAAGCAATGTACCCTTCGGCATAACCGACATCGGCTTTAAAACTGTCATCGGTCATTAATAACATCTTGAGCCTATGAAATGTTTTTGTGTCGGGCTTCTCGTCTCTAAATATTCGTCTCCTCGTCAGGTTTTCTACCCACGGTGTTGTGGCTACATTGGCTGATAGATCACGCATATAAATAGGAACGTATGCCCTACCCCTGCTGTCTCTGAAAGATACTGATAATCCTTGGTGTGATTCTGTCTTCAGTTGGTATAAATAGACATTGATTGAATAGGTTTTTGGTTTTCTCGGGTTGGTTCTTCCCGTTCGTTTGTTGTCTTCTTTTGCTTGGGTCATTCTCTGACCTAGTTGTTCTTTATCCTTGTGCTTGTCGTATATTTTATCATATTCGTTTTCCGCTTTAGTTTTTTCTTTGTCGGTTTTTGCGGTGGTGAGTTTCCTGATTAAATTGTCTGCTGTGGTGAATTGGGCGATCTTACGATCTGAGTATAAGTTGATTATGTTTTGAACCTTTGTTCTGGTGGCTTGGGTGATGCGGTTTCGTCTGTTGTTATAAAATGTTTGTAGTGCTTCCGTATTGCGCTTAATGGCTTTGGACATATACTAATATAATTAAACTATATATTTTTTTCCCTTTAAATGGATTTTTCTGAAGATTTCTTTTAAAGAAAATGCATCTATAGAAAAAAAATATATATAGTATAGTAATATATGAGCAAGAAGCCCGAGGATATGACAATAGAAGAAATCAAAGAACAACTCGCTATATACAACAGGCTGTATTATCACAAGCGCAACAAGGACGAGGCATACATGCAAAAGAAACGGGAATCTGCACAAAGACACAACCAGAAAAAGAAGATCAAGGAGTATGAAGAAGCTAACAATATCAGACTGAAGCCCGAGGAGATTAATGATGAATTGCTATCAGAAATATTGAATGCAAAGAAGCCGATGAAGCCCAAGCACGGCTCGGCTAAATACGACATGAAGAACTGCAAGATCATAATGCCGATGTCCGAATGATGATTTAATTTAGTTATTAAATCATTATTTTCTTTTGTTTTTATATGAGCGAGAAACAAAAAATTATTAATGATGTGTATTTTGATCGCGCGGGGTTTGGCTCAAAAAGCCGGACTTTAGAAGAAGCGCGGGAGAAAGACAAAACCATCACAATGTCTGATATTAACGAGTTTTTTAGGAAGAATGTTGATCAAAAGCGAAAGCCCGTCGGTTCAAACAGCTTTGTCGCCCCCCATTCAGCATATGAGTATCAGATGGATTTGTTTTTCATAAATGATTTGGAAGATCAAAAATTTAGAGTAGGAATGTTAATGATTGATATATTTGATAAGTTTATGCATGTCGTGGCAATTAAAGGTAAGAAGGAAGAAGATTTAGCGAGTGGGATGATTGAATGCTTACATAAAATGGGGAAGCAGCCAAAGATGATTTTTACCGATGATGAACCCGCCATGAACAAGGAGGCAATACAAAAGTATTTACAGGAACAGAACATAGAACACTATAGAACTAGGGCACACGCAAATTTCAGCGAAAGGGCCATTAGGACGTTCAAAGATTTATTATATCGTAGAGTTGAAGCCGATCAGAAAAAGGGCAAGAACAATATTCAGTGGCCGGATTATATTTTTGAAATATTATTAACATATAACAATAAAATGAAACATTCCGCTACTGGCTTCACCCCAAAGGATGCCAGAAAACCGAGCAACGAATTAAAAGTTAAACTGCATTTAAATATGAATGCTAAACGAAATCGGGTCTATCCTGAGTTAAGTGTTGGTGATGAAGTTAAAATATTCAGGAAAAGGAAACCCAATGAAAAAGAACGTGTATCAAATTGGTCGCAAAATGTTTATACCATAGGAAGAATTGATGAAAAATTGGGCCAACAATATTACTATGTATCAGGCAATGATAGGGCTTATTTACGCTTTGAGTTGTTAAAGGTGTAGTTTGTTTTTGCGTCTTTGAAGTTGCGGGGGTTTTCACAACTTGAGTTGTAAGCTGTCTTACAACCAACAACTTGTAGTTGTGAGTGGTTTCGCAACTTTAGTTGTTTTACAACGACCCTGCAGCTGGAGATAGATTTGCACCTGAGTCGTGACCCATGATACGAGTTGTGTAATGTCTGGTGTCGCCCGTTGTCTGTTGTTTAGGTTCATCCAACCTCAGTTTCTTATGTAGTTGGCACTTCGCTGTGATGTCAGCAACGCGCGGCTCAAGATTCATGAGCTCGTCTAGAGTGTGCTCAAGTTGAGAAGCCTGGCAACACAGGTGTTGGTTTGTTGTTCAGTGCCTATGATATATACATGTATATGTATATACATATACATATATATATACAGGCTTACACCCTCCGTGGATGCAATGGCGGATGAACCACCGGCTAAGAAGCGGAAACTTACGCACATTCCTTTCGCGGATATTCGAAATGACGAGGTACCTGAATGGGTGAAGGCACAGATTGGGAGATTGACCGAAGACACAGCCATTGCCGAATCCGAAATGCCTTTCGCAACGGTCACCAAGGAGATGCTGCGTGCTGTTACACGCCAGGACTTGGAGCAGGAACTCGAAGAACTCATCCAAACCCCGGCCACTCGTCGATGGGTAGCCCGCGGACTCGTCAACTTGATTCAAGGAGAAGCGCTAGAAGCACAAGCCCCTCGGCTCCAATACTGCATATTCTCTTCTTTAGGTCTGGAGTCTGGAGCCTTTGCTGTTTCACTCGTAAGCCTCCCCGATAGGCTTAGTTTATTAGCTCACTTATTGGGTTTAGGGGTTGGCTCTTTGGTTGTAGCCGAGTTGTCTATTCCCCCCTAGGTTGGTTTCCTCGTAGGGTTTCCCGATTGGGTTAGTTGATTGGGTCGCTGAGTCGGGCTTAGGGGGTTGGGTGTTTTTAGTTTAATGCGTTTAGGGTTTAGGGGTTGTTTTTTTTTTCTCTGTTTTCGTCCTCGGGTGTGAGAGAGGCCGGTCGAATGGGTTAGTTGTTGGCTTTAGTGCCTGGCGAGTTTCCAAATCTCGTCAGAGGTCCAGAATGATGGCGTGATGGTCGATCGTGCGTTCTATGAGAGCAGCATCTTCATGCATCAGGCATTGAAGGATCCCAATCTCAGCGTTTTCGCTCAGACTACCGGCCAGGGAACTGAAGGCATTCCAAAGCAAGTGAAAGCCAATATCAGGAAGGCGTATGGCAACAGATGCGCGTTCTGTGGCTTGTCAGAAACTGTTCTTACATCGGACAAGAAGCCTCGCAAACTTTCTTGCGCCCACCTGCCACCACACGTCAAAAATTTCAATCAGGGCTTCCGGGGCGAGTTTCAAGTGACCTCCGAGCGCAACTTTCTATTGCTTTGTGGATCTCATGGCAAGACCGGTTCTTGCCACGATGGCTTCGATTCTCACCGTCTCGCGCTTTTACCAGCTTGCTTGGAGCGAAAGTGGACACTGCTCAGTTGCTACAGTTCCGGACAATTCAGAACAGAAGAGGGCAACGTGCCACAACAGCACCGGCCAGCATTTCAGGAGTTTACCGAGCACATGCTGTATAACCGTGTGCTCGCGACACGTTTACACAGGTTCTATGTGGAGAATGCAAAAAGCTGCGACAAGATGCCGAACTTCGGGGCTATGGTCAGTGGGGTCAGAGATGTTTCGTTGGCTGAGAGCCGCAGAGGGACGAGGGAGGGAACGTCGACAGTGTCATGCGATGATTGCGGTGTATCCGCACTTCCTTTTTCCGTATCGGCTTCGGGATCACAGCAGCAGCAAGTCGGCGAGACTCCTATGTTTCAGACCTCAGGTCCTGTGGTGGTGCCACCGCGTTGGCCAAAGCCAAGGGTGGTTCCGGCGCGACGAAACCCCCAATAAGGTGGGATGGCGATGTGCAGTCGTCGCCAAAGTGACCTCTAGAGCCGCTGAGCAGAGACGTGACAAAGTAGCCAAAAGAGCCGCCCTTTCAAACGATTCTAGACTTTCTGATCAACAGTTCTTTTGAAGTGTGCATCTCCATAGCGGTATAATCCTAGCTTAGTGGGTGGGCTGCGATGGAACTTATGAACATACAACCCTTAACCCTAAACCCTGAACCAAATCCTACGAGAACCCCCTTGCCCCTTTTGAGTAATAATGCCACCTTAGAAATAATAGATGGGGTTATGGTTATTCCTAGAATTGTGTTGATAATGGGGTAGTAGTAGTGATATATCGGTGAAATGTAGGGGGGAGTGTAGGAATGATCATCTAATGGGGGAAGTAGTAGTGATATGTGGGTGATGTGTAGGGGGGAGTATAGGAATGATCATCTAATGGGTTAGCGGTGGCATTATTACCCAAACTGGGCAAGGTCTACTCTGACTTAGTCAACCATGTCTCAGCGTAGTACACTCTGTGTTCAACTATGGTTTAGAAAAGTGTGCTACAACTAGAAGCGGGTATTAAAGCCTGGAGCCACTTTTTGGAACGAGGCCCAGGCAGCCAAAGCGGCCGCGCGTGTGGCCCGAACCGAGACGGATGGCCAGGCGCTGGAAGCGGTGGTATACTATAGTGCCGAGTGAAGTGTATACTGTAGCACCGGGCGGTGTAGTTAGTATACTACGACGACGTGCAGTGTTTCGCAGAATGCAGTACCGTGCAGTGGAGTATGATACAGCGTAGTAACTCAGCGTAGTATAGCGTAGTGCAGTATACAAGGGAGTAGAAAGTATAGTGTAGTCTAGTTGACATAGTTTAGTCGAGTGTAGTATGGCAGCATCTAGTGCACACAACAGGATAGTTTATTGGAGGACGGAGTACTGGAGTCATGTAACTACGTTGTCCTTTTGGGGGGCTTTGCTGGTGATAGGACGAGGGGGAGAGGCGGGCTGGTCGGGGGTGGGTTTTAAGCGTGGGGGTTCTTGTTTGCTGAACTGTCCGTCGTTCGTGTGCACCTCGATCGCTCACTCAGTCCGTGCGTCCGCCACCAGGCTACCCGGTTGCATTCCGTGATAGGTCGGGCTCTGGGCGCGTGTGAGGCTCCTGGCGAGGGTGTCAAGCTTGTAAGATGAATGACGTCAACATAAGAAAGGAAAACATACACATGTGTATATGTATACATGTATAATCATATGCTTACCCCCCCTCCAAGATCTACATCCGCCCCTTCCACACAATTCGACAGGTTGATTCTCTACATTGGTCAACTACACATATATGCCGACAACACTGTAAATTCCGATACAATTGTGCTTTACTCCATGTGCATGCAAACAGTACTGCTACAAGTCGCGTGTTTGATATGTGTAAAAGTCTGGCGCCCGGCAGCAGATTTATGGTAGTTTATATGTTGGAGAAGCTGAAATGCTGGAGGGCGTGCTATTTTTGTTCAGGTAGTACTAAAAAACCTCGTGTTTTTTTGCGTTTTATGGTGTGTTATTTAACGACATTCCTCTAATAATAAAAATACTATTGTCTCTCTTACGAAGACGTCTGTGTGCGTGGGCCATCTCTTTCCCGCTGCTCGTGAGCGTCCGATTCTGATGCGGCCTAATAGCTCTAGCATTTGATTTATGAGTTACGAAACACAAAGAGCTCCTTTCATGTCCTGTCCGTTATACACGGAGGAAGTCGAATATACGGGCGCATTTATTTTTGAAGCAATACTCCAATAGTTGTTCTTTGCCTCATAAAAAATGGGAAAGCTCCCCTGGAGTTGGAAAGTTCATGTGCATATGCGGGCGCACAAGAAGGCTCGTCTGCAGCAAGAAGTAAGAGAGCTCTTGCAACCTTCCAAACATGAAGCACGACTAATTACGACTGGCTGCATTGATACGTATCAATCACAAGGCAGGGGCTCCTTAACCTTGTAAAACAAAGTAAAATGGCACTTCATGGAAGAAAACTCCTCTTTATGTTGTGAGTCGGTATTAAAGGCAGCCATGTGCAAAGCAATCGCTATCTATTTTTGAGGGTACTCATGTGGGCCATGAGTTTTCGTTCGGTTAACCATATGAATGATGCTGTCCTATACCCCGGAGAAGATGCCGATCGCTATGTCCATGACTGTTTCTCTAATTGCTGTCATAGAACGTAGCGGAAACAAGTAGCTCTCTTCAATCTTCAAGCGACACTCCCCAGATGTGATCAGGAAACAAAGAGAAGCTTGCTGACTGGTATCTTTTATTAAACGGGCAAGAGGCATAAGACTTGTATCGGCTTGTACACCTCCCTCACATCCTGACAAAGCGATACCGGTCCTTCTGTCTGTGACTGTGGTTTAAACGCAGTCATAGTTCGTATCACAACATGAAAAGGAGCTCTCTTCAGTCTTCAAAGACTACAGGTGACATCGTAGAATTCTCTTCTGGGTTAGCAGGAATCTTCATGTCTCTTGCTTGATAGGTATGAGGATGTCTCATAGGAAACCGAATAGGAAGTCTCCATTGTTTCTGATGATAGCAGATGCAAACAGTTTCCCACAGTCTTCAACATGAAATGAATTAAGTTCTAGATAGGCTTGCGCTGCTACAGTGATGGATCTGTAGGCGGTGCAGCTTGCCGAAGAATGGCCAAAATCATTTTCGAGAAAGCTCAGGTGCTGGAGCCAGTGCTGCTGGTGCCATAGATCTACCAACCTCCGAAAACATACATGAAATAAACTATGCAACGATTAGGCCTTTTTCATACTTACCAAACAAGAGTAATGAAAACCGTTCGTTCCAGAAGACACATAAATCATTACTTCCAGTCCTTGACAACGTTTGAAAGCACACAATTAAGTGATGCAATATATCCTGTCCTGGACATCAGAAAACACTGTGATGCTCAAAAAATTCCAAAACTTCCAGCCCTGAAACTCACGAAACACTGTGCTGTTCAAAAAAATCTAAAAATTCTAAAATTCTGGCATCTATGGCCAGGCCGGGGGCAGATTCCTTAAAAGTTTGGAATTTTTTGAGCATAGCAGTGTTTCGTGCGTTTCAAGGGTCGGAAAAGTTGCTGTTTTTGAGCATTACATGTTTTGTGCGGTTGAACCGCACCTGGTCCGGGTGGATTGCCATGGCTTCGTGTGCGGCAAGATTTCAATAGGCTTGGAGTCACACTTGATTGTGCACAGCTGCGCACCCATCACATATCGCATGTCCCTCTTCACTAGACCCTCTCATAAACACGCACTGGCTCAAGATTTCGGCTGTGGGAGAACGAGACGGACCAGGCGGTTTTGGTTTTAGGACCAGCATCAGCAGGTTTGGAGGCGGACAAGACACGCGCATCATGAGCATCAGCGGCGCTGCATGGCAGTGCAATAACTGGAGCCGCTACCCCATGACCTCGTTGTTGAGTGGTACATTAAACAAATTCACTTCTCTTTGACCATGATCAATCTCAAAGACCATTTCTGACCAGGCGGTTTTGGTTTTAGGACCAGCCCCGAAGCCGACTGATGTTCATGAGGCCACGGCTGATGCTCATGTTTCTACACGTCTTCGAGTTTCCAGATTCCAGATTTGCAGGATAAGTTCCAGATTCCAGATTTCCAGATTTGCAGGCTCTAGGCTTTCAGATTCCAGATTTCCAAATTTGCAGGCTCTAAGTTTCCAGATTCCTGATTCCAGATTTTTTCAGATTTGCAGGCTCTAAGTTTCCAGATTCCAGATTTGCAGGCTCTAAGTTTCCAGATTCCAGATTTCCAGATAAGCAGGCTCTAAGTTTCCAGATTCCAGATTTCCAGATTTGCAGGCTCTAAGTGTCCAGCTTCCAGATTCCAGATTTCTGGAAATCTGGAAACCTTAGGGTGAGCAAATCTGGAAATCTGGAATCTGGAAACTTAGAGCCTGCAAATCTGGAAATCTGGAATCTGGAAACTTAGAGCCTGCAAATCTGGAAATCTGGAATGTGGAATCTGGAAACCTACGTACTGCAGAAAGCCGGAAATCAGGAAATCCAGACTCCGGAAACCTGCAGACGTAGATCTTGGGGGGGGGGCGAGCAATCATATATACACATTAAACACATGCATGTATACATGCATGTATACTTGTAGACATGCATGTATACCTACTCTGTCTCTCTCTCTCTCTCTCTCTCCCTCTCTCTCTCTCTCTCTCTCTCTCTCCTGTCTCTCTCTCTCTCTCTCTCTGTCTCTCTCTCTCTCTCTCTCTCTCTGTCTCTCTCTCTCTCTCTCTCTCTGTCTCTCTCTCTCTCTCTCTCTCTCTCTCTCTCTCTCTCTCTCTCTCTCTCTCTCTCTCTCTCTCTCTCTCTCTCTCTCTCTCTCGCTCTCGCTCTCGCGCACAGAAGTATCTAGCTCCTTGGACGAGCGGGGGCTCTTGCCCCGAGGAGGCTGGTGTGAGAAATTACCATGCGTGGTAGAAGAATATCAGGAGGTTCAGCGGGTGGTTTCCCGGCGGGGTAATGTCTCGCCCCAGAAACCTCGCCCGAAGCTCCGAAACATCAATACGTAGAAAATCTTCGCGAAACTCTGGGAACAGTAGTAATACTCGCCTACGCAGCAGTGACACCATGTACGCAGCAGAATCCAAAGCAACCAATGCGTCAATGTCGTGTGCAAATGCGCCACGGTTTTGCTTGTCTAGTGGGTTTTCCATCGATTTCCAATGAAGACGTTTGTTCCCAATCAAAATCACCGAAAAGGTATGCCAACAACACTGCGTGTAGATCTCTGTGCATAGCGACGTTCTGCCAACATTTAAGACGACGTATCCTGAGCTCAAGATGCGTCGGCACTGATTGGAAAAAGCGCCAGACTTCGACAGTGGACACCAGCAGGGGACTCGATGCGCTCCAAACCGTGTTCTGATTTGCACAAGCCGTTTTGGACATTGGCATCCGTGAAAACGGCTGGTACCCAACGGTGAGGCAAGGGGCTTCCAATATGCCCACAACTGGCCAACGCGCTGTTCTTCCTTAACTGTACGCGAATGTAAGGTTTTGACACAATGCAACAAAAGTCACAATCTCCACGTTTGATGCGAAGTATACCCAGTCTGCCCTGAAATTAGCTGGGAATGTCAAAGACCTCATGTTTAATGTTGCACTCTGCGAAACTGTGCCGCGCAAATACGAGGCAACTCCCACTGCATGTTCGGAGGGAATGACCCCATTCGTACAAACGAAAGGGGCCGTGGGGAGACGTGCAACAAGCGGGATCACTAGCCCCACTCCGGACCTTTGTGCCAGACAACCCCAGTACAGTACATGATAACCAGACAAAGCAGCTGCAATTTCCTCCTTACGATTGTGCTGCCATGCGCTGGGGGGTTTTTGCCGCACATCTCCAAAGCATACGAAAGGTAGGCCAGCACCGACCATGATTTGGCAGCAAAGTTTCATGAACCCCCCCCCCCCCCCTAAGGGAACCCGGCTCGACCGCAAAGGGGCTCATGCATACATACATACATACATACATACATGCAACTGGTTTCGAGCACGAAGCCGCCTGAGGGTTTCTACCAGGTTTGAGTGCGCCACGTCACTACAGAGAACAGCAGCTGCAATCAGTAAACAGGCTTCGTTTTCTGAACTTATCCGGTACTGCATTTGCCCATGGGTCACTGCGGTCGCTCCTCCACCTCGATTGCAATAGAACAGAGCGCCAGCTTTACGCGCTGCTGAGCTTGCATTTTCAGGTTTAATAGTGCAGGGGTGCAAAGGCTCCAGTGACAAGCCCCGCGCAACGAAGACAAGTCATTGCAGTGAAGGCTGTGGGAGACGTCTCCAGCTGTGAGGTTGAACAGGGTTCAGCTACAGCCCCTGTGACGATTAGTAAGTGTAGCCAAGTATTCACATGCACGGGGTGCAAACAATTTTTCTTTGGGGCTGAGAAACAAGCAACATGGGTGATTAGTGTTCCTCATCCAAATCTGCCAGGATCTGAAAGCCTGCATGAAGCAGATCTCCAGCGAACTCGCAAAGTTGCACCTGGAAGCAATTGCCATCGCGCTAGCAATACCACTGGTATTGACGCATTACTCTTGTCATTCGTCCTGGTAGTTGCAGTAGTGCCAGTAGTTAGCAGCAAGAGGCAGTAAGAAGTTAGTGTGTCGTCATCGTCCTAGTAGTCGTATTAGTAGCAGTAGTAGTAGCAGTAGTAGTAGCAGTAGCAGTAGCAGTAGCAGTAGCAGTAGCAGTAGCAGTAGCAGTAGCAGTAGGAGTAGGAGTAGCAGTAGCAGTAGGAGTAGGAGTAGGAGGAGGAGGAGGAGGAGGAGTATGAGTAGGAGTAGGAGTAGGAGTAGGAGTAGGAGTAGGAGTAGGAGTAGGAGTAGGAGTAGTAGTAGTAGTAGTAGTAGTAGTAGTAGTTGTAGTTGTAGTTTTTGTTGTTGTTGAGTTTGTTGTTGTAGCAGTAGCATGAGTGCTGATTCTGCTTAACGGGATTGTTGCGGTATTATTCTACATGTCAGGAAATTCCGGTCCAGCATGCCAAGCTTAGGCCATAAGTCACAATTTCTGCGCCCGGTAGGCCCTAAACCGACCTAATCCTCGAAGATCGTGGCAATGTTGGTAGCTCATTACTTCCAGGCAAGATTCTGTTGCTGCTGTTAGCTGAAATGACGTGTTGTAGTTGTTCTGAGTATCCAATTGAGTATTATGGTGCCTCCACTCGATATTTGGCTTTCGTTCAGTCATTTTGGCTAGCGACCCGAACGTGGTCAGTGAGCCCTACGAGTTCCAGTCCTTACGAATGGCTTTCGTAATCAAACGCGGCCATGGTGTTTTTCCTTGAGGCCATCGTGAGCCCTTGTCGTAGAAGAAAGGACGCCGCTGGCGCAGGCAACCCTTATCCTGATTCAATAAGGAGGCCAAGCCCTTATGCCGATCCAGGACCTCACCGTTTGAGCGCCTAAGGACTGGGTGGGGAGTGGCCGAACCACTCATCTGGATTCATGTACGCGTCGCCAGTAGTTTCCCGCTATTGCTGAAGCCCTCAGAATATTCAAATCCAAAACCCATTCTAAGCCCAAAAAACAGAAAGCAATGACATCTTGGGATTCTCTCGCGATAGCTCAGGCGCTTGGATCTGGACAGGACAGAGCCGCCTCGCTGCATGCACGGGGGTCGGAGGTGGGGGGTTTCTATGGCTTAGGTTTCGGGTTTTGGGCTTCAGCTCAGCTCATTGCCCACAACAAGGGTTGCAGGGTCGGGTTCTTAAAGAAAATCCGAGGCCGTTGACCTAGAGTATACTACGATGGTATACTACAGCGTGGCACACGAAGTTACAGTATACTACAGACTACTCGCAGCTACCAGCACAGTATTTCGACTCCTTGGGATCATGGTCGGGCAAGGACGCATCCCTGCGAGGGGTCTTGCAGCTCAGCCCAGGAGGGTACGGTGCAGCATATCGGCAGCGCAGTGCAGTATAATATGGTACAGTGCAGTATGTCAGCAAGCACACTCCAGTGTAGTGTAGGGTAGCATGCTACTGGAAAGTGTCACATGACACAAAGCACAATTTGGTATCGGCGGCGTAGTGCGCACTATGATCGAAAATCAGACTCAATGATACCATTCTTTGCTTCTCGGAGGAGCGAAGGATCTAGCGGCTATGTCACAGTCCACACCGTGAGATTTTGATACAGACATGAGTCACATGAGGATCAACGGCCAGATCCAGCTACTCCTCGTACTAATGAGACTCTGCAGTGCTCCATATAGCATAGGTATCCGTAAACATGAACGGAGTCTTCCTGCTTTGCAATTTTCATGTTTCCAATGGAATCGTCAAGGGGATGTGATACAACTTGCAGGGGCTGCAGCTAGGTATGGGTTGGAGTACGCATGTCCACAGCAGGTGAGCTTCCAACGCAGCCCCGAGCCATGAACCGGAGCCTCAAGTCCTCAAGCCGGAGCCCGAACCCTCACTCCGTGCACTCAAATCTCTGCGGCCTGATGTGTGGAGTTCCAAGACCTGCGATCCAAAAAACTATCCCAAGTGTTGATTGCAAGGCTAGGTCCTACTATACAGTATACTGAATTACGGGGTACGATAGAGTTTCGCACCGCGCCGTGTGGCATTGTACACCATATATAGTATTCGGGATGTGGTGGACAATATTACGGTAGACGGCTGTAGGGACCGTAAGTGTCGATTTTCTCCTTGCTCAGGCAGGCGCTGTTGGAGTCGAAACATCAGCTGGTGGAAACCAAATCCGCGGTCGCAGAGCGCGATGTGAGGCGAAGATGGGGGACACTGCGCTTCTGTAGGTTTGCCGATTGCAAACTCCTTCTGCAGGGTCCGATTTGTTGGGTTTATACAGGATTTAGAAGGGCTCTGTGGAGAGCAAGCAGAGCGATTTATGGGTTCAGCGTTCGGTGTTGAAGGACATACGGATGTGTCTACAGTACGACACACTTAGCAGTTTATGCTTTTCTGCAGTGTAGTACAGTATAGTATAGTATAGTGTGACCCGTTCACCCTGCTGTCGCATTTACTTCCAGATGCGGCATCACAACGGTGAAGTTTTTGCTGTGCCGACGTGGTGTTGTCGGATGAGCAAGATCGTACTAGTGGCATCAGTTCATTATTCCGAGAGATGCTACTATAAGGTAGACTTATGAGAGTCTTTGTCTAAACTGTTCATAGGCAGTCTTCATGTCGGAAGTGTGTCGGCTAGAAGAAACAGTCTAAGTTGTGATCCAACCCTGCACCCATAATCCGCCTCATGAACACCAGACGCTAAACTTAGTCGGCAAACCCCAATCAGTCAAGGGAGTGACAAAGCTCAAGCCCTAACCCCCAAACCTGTCCAAGTCCTGATCCAGGCTGAGGGCAGCCCAGCAAGAAGCCAAGGACGGGCCACGGTATGTCCAAGTGGTGAGCCATGTTGTAGGAATTATTGTTGAGACTTTTGGCCGGGAGAGGGACAGCGGATCCGCCTTGGCTAGCATTAGTAACTGAGAGCATGTCAGCCTTCATTACTATTGTCTGTCAGTTGTAAGATGCAGTGGTCGAAGCTGCTTTGGGGGGTCAGTCAGGCTTAGAGGTTTGCGATGAATGCCAAGGTGATTCGGAGAGTGATGCGTTCCCTCCCTCTCCTTCCATCAGCATCAACCTTTCTCTGCCTCCGTCCCTCTCCCTTGCCTCGCCTCTGGCAGCGAAGCACTAGATCCGAAGCTTTGCTCAAAGGCGCAATTGAAAGCATAGTATAATAAGGTATCTCTAAGAGCAGAGTATACTATATGCATAGGCTAGTTTGTACTGGATACTATACAGACTCCTGGCCTGAAAGGATACCTCGTGTCAGCTGGAGAAGCCCATGCCCTATTGGCACAGTGCCTGGAGCTGCAAGACCCACGAAATACGACACCTGAACCATGGTGCGCCATAGTAAACCAGGGTGCAATATCGCACAGCACAGCTTACTGTAGCAGAGTAGCAGTGCAGTGTGGTCGTCGTGTACTCGCAAAAACAGTTTCACTGTAGTGCCGTGCAGTACAGTATCGCACAGTTTAGCATTATGTATCACAGCACAAACGGCTCAAGCATATCTTGATATTTTTGCTTGGTGGTTTTGAGTCTAGGGGTGGCCAGATTTCTTCGTGCTTAGGCAGGCCCTGCAAGAAGTTATCCAACCCGCTACATGAAAGACCCACGCCCACAGCCACAGAGTTCTGCAATGACTCGTCAGGCATCCGCTTCTCCCTGAGACCCCTACATCCCAAAGATTCACTTGTCCTGAAGTAGTTCAAGAGTTGTCACGAAAGTGGGTTTGTTCCACACTTGATGGCTAGACAAGGCCGGAAACTAAGGTGCCAGGTCGATGCGCAGGCCCTTGCAGCCGGCGAGGACAAATTGCGCCGGCCTCGGAGGATCTACGGAGTCACGGAGGGTCCATCATTTGTTTAGCAGGGAGGACGCTGTCTAGCAAGCCTAGTGTTCACTAGCAAAATAATAGTATACGTGCCACAAGGATTCGGGGCTTCAAGTCTTGGGTTTATATCCCAAGTTGTTGTCTGTTGAAGCAAAGTTTCTGCACATTCATGAGCAGGTAAGTGGGTTAAGGTTATCTGGCTCGGTGTTTTTTCTGAGTGGCCGTGGGTCCCGGGGCTCAGGGGCTAAACATTGGTTCATTCGGCGGTTCGGGCTGTTATCAGCATACTGTCCTCGGTGCAAAGAGCAGTGGTTTCCAGTGCGCCTGATGGCTTTCCAGCAGCTTCGGGACGTGATAGGTTGCCCGGCTCTAACGCTCCGCCTTTGCTGTACTTCAGGACAGTCTGTCTCGTGGTTTTGCTCGGGTGCCTGGTGTAAGCTGCAGGAAACTGTCTGTTGTAGTGCAGGGACGCCTTTGTTTTTCGGTGTTTCTGCTCAGTACTGGTGTCAGATGAAACGGTGATCATGCCGAGGAAGGCCGAGTATGAGGCGGAAATCTGCCGATTGCGAGCTCTGAGCCTTTGTCAGCATTTCATCTAGCAGAAATGGCATTGCAGGATGAAGGTTCTGCCGAATCAACATTTGTCCGCAACGGTTATGTTGCTACCCTGGCCACGTTTGCCATGCCAACAGTAGATTCTGCGTGGTGGTCCCACAGACTCTATAGTGCATCATGTAGTACTGAGTATAATGTACTACATGACATGTACCGGCATTTACATCTATGCATACATGCAGTGGACTTGATTGATTACTCCTAAACCATGATTTTACCGCTTCTTGATGGCATGCAATGCCCTGCTTGTCAACGTCCTGTTTGGTCAACTCCTGCCGCCTTTGCCGCAGCGTGGTCGGCTGCAGTGGGCTTTTCTATGTGACTGACAGTGAAAGACAATATGGTATTATACTAAGTACCGGGAAATTAGCGTGTAGAGTACCGTAGGAGCACTATTAATGCGTGTTTCCTTTTCCCATGAGGTTTCGATCTAGCTGGTAAGTTCTACTTAGCAAGTATTTACGTGCGTTTGCTCCAGTATCACTGCATGTTTAGACGCCACACTGGTCGTGAAACCTCAGCCACACCTTACACAAACCTCTTCTTACGACTATGAACTGTTGGCTGCGTCACACAGGTTGGAGGACTCCGAAGGCAGACAGTTGCTGCTCCCCCAGGCATGCGGCCTGCAGTGGGTAGAAAGAATTGGCCCGGGACGGAGGCAATCTAGTCTATTAAGATGTAGGCATATACACACAGAAATACTTGCATACATACATGCTTACACACCTTTCTGGTTAACTCCTTGGCCGAGTGAAGCCCTGTAATGAATGCACATCTCGCCCGACGCCAACGGTGTGGATTTGTAGCCATCACACACATATTTATCAGCAGATATTTCTCTTGCCCGTTGTCAGTGTTGTTCTTCAGACGTGTCCGCCTACTGCTGAAAAAACGCTGCCGTCACAGACTTCGGTTCTTATGCGGATCTCCCTGCGAGTGTACTGGGATCATGCTCACGGGGTCCTTGGTTTTGATTTCGGATTGCGCAGGCTGCGCCGACTGCTGCGCCGTGTCCCTCGGCAGATGCTGTGCATTGAAGCAGCCGTGGCATGACCGGCGTTGCGCATGTGTTCCATTTCGTGAGGTGCACTGCGTCAGGCATATTAATCAATCATATTAAAAAGAAGCCGACCCGAGCTAGTAAGGCTGGTGTTGGGAGCGTACGGTTCATGTAGCGACAACAGCATCAACCACTGGAGCTGTCACAGTGTTGCCGGGAGAGGATCAGAACAGAGAAAGAGACGAGAATCATTGGCATGCATGGCTCCGGTTCTGCCAATCCAGCCTACCAAGTTGACGACATGGACCTCCTGAGCGTCCTGAGCCTGCGGCCTCATTATTTTGCTACAGAGCACGAGAGCCGCGGTTTCTAGGTCTTGATGAACTCTGCGTTTCAGGTCCTGAGTTTCCTGCCGCAGCCGTCCACCAGGCCGGTGTCGTAGGGACTTACACGTCCAAATGCCCACCTGGAGTTGGGTCGCGGCCGACAGGCCTGCACTGAGCAGATCGGCAAGGACCGTGTGGTCAACAATGCTCGTCATGTAATCCCACGATGTGGGCGTGCTTTGATTCCAGGGCTCGTTCGGCATCGTGCACAAGGCCCTGTTCGACTCCGGACATGTCGCTGTCAAGGAGTCGCTGGACACAAGAATTTAAGGAGGTGTTGGTTGTAACACAACGTCCCAATCGTCATGGTGAAGGAGCTACGCTCAGACGGCCGGCATGAGGCAGAGGCCGCTGTTCCTTCCGATCATCGCAACTTCCCTTGCAGTGTGAAGTTACCTGCATCGACATCCTTGAAGTTACATGCATCGGCATCCTTGCACCACACGCATCTACACGCCATGCAGGTGCTGTCACGTTATCGACACCCGAACATCGTCATCCTTCTCGGCTTCGCGAAGACCGGGCAGCGGCAAAGCACCCAGAGCAAACCAACCTAATATTTGTTAGTAAGACCCGTTCACATCCGCTCACAAGAAATATTCATAGTGACCTACTGGGGCTTTGTGCAAAGAGTGGTTCGAAGACCCAGCGAATGCCCCGCATGCTTGCTTTTATCCTGAAGCATTTCTACAGATCAACTCCTTTCGCCACCTGCAGTGCATTGTTGACAGAAGCCCGGGAGGCGTTTCAGGGCACCTGAGGTGCCTTGAGGAAGGTGTGTTGAGGGCCGCGAGTGGCGCAGGACCCTGCGAGGCAACGCAGGTATTTTATCAGTGGACCACAGCAACCCCGGGATCCCAATAACATGCGCCTTGATGCTAATTCTCATGGTGCAGTCCTGATGCGTGTCCGAAGGAGAACCACAATTTAGTTAGCAAAGAGCGTGACATTTCCTGTTGGCATCAAAACATGTTTGCTCAGCCACAAAGGTCCGGCAACCATTGCGCCCTGTTGTTTGCACGGATTCTTGTGGCACCGACTTTTGTGACACCTGTGCCTCAAAAATTCGTTTGTTCTTACATTTATTGTTTTCACAACTTTAGGCTTGCATCATATTAGCCTCTTGTTTTTCCAGCAGTGCTTGCAGCTACAACAGTGGACGCTTCATGGCCATGACATTGCAGACATACTTCTGTATCGATTTGCTACTGGTTGTGTGCAGCTGTTTGTATACATTTGTCCCCGCATTCCAACATCATGTATTATTGCTTCTTCATGCCATGGTTCCGCGTTTACGTAAGCGTTACCATCTTTGGCAAAAAGCATCCGTCCTTGCAAAAACTCGGCATCGTGTAAGATGGCAACAAAGTGGTACAGCATCTTTCCATATCTTTCCAAGATGCAGCCTGCGTCCCAACGTAGTCCGCGCAGAACTGAAAGCCAACACCGCTCTTAGGATTTCGCACCTGGTCTTCGAGCTGTGCACCACCTGGAAGAACGCCAGTAGGCATGCGGGCATCGCATTTGCCGAGTTTGTTTTTCTCCACATTGGCACAAGTGCAGCTTGTGTCTTCGCTCTCACGAGGCTTTGTGCGCTGCGTGACTGCGCCTGCTGCCAAGCTGGCGCACACAATATTACACAAAAGTACAGCTGCCACCGTTCGATGCTTTGTAAGGCTCGTGGCCTGGCGTTCTTGCACAGCTGCCAGCCAGCCGCCTGATGCTCAAACGCAGGAGCTTACTTCGAAAAAGATCTAGAGTTTGAACACGGCAGTCCCCAGCGAGATTTGTCGGTGCCATGCAGGTCATTCACCGGGCCGCGGCCTCAGGTGGCCTCAGAGGACAAAATGTTGACATCCCACATGACAGTCAGGATGTTAAGCTTGACAACTTCCTCGTGGATGCTCGCGGCACCGGGAAGGCCACGGGCAATCACATCGTTTGATCCAGTAGTTGTCCCTCGACTGTTCATGTTTGCAGCCTGTGCTATTGTGCTGCGGTTGTACCAAGCATGAGCCTGCACACGCGTGGCGCAACAGTTTCGATTCCGCTCGACCCCCTAGTTTTCGATGGAAATGTAAGCAACGCCAACCTAGACAGGATAATCTCGAGGCTTCTATTTCGTGGCTGCTTCCGGGGCGTGATGCGCGGGAGAATGAATGCAAAGAGAGCTATGAGAGTATGGCAGAGCCTGGGTTTTGGGAGGTAGCGGACTTCGGCACCTCCGTGTTGGCATCCGGCGATGCTGCCTTAGAGGCCAATGGGCGTACGTTGCATGAAGCGACGCTGGTCATGCCTTGACGATGCCGACAGGTACATGATCGCTTGGGAACAATCGGGTACATGGACCCGGAAGTTGCCATCACAGGCCTGCTACATGTCGCGTGGCAATTCGATATGATGCAGCTGTTGAATTGCAGGTATGGTTTCTCAATATACCGACGTGTACGGCTACGGCATGTCCCTGGCCGAGGCGTGGCGATGTTGGTTTTGAGGAATGTCCGTCCTCGGCTGGGTCTTTCAGTCAGAAAATCCCCAAGAGAATGGCGAGTATCCCTGGAGTGCCCAACCTCAAAGAATTCGGCTGAGAACCCTGCCCATTATCCCCAAGGTGCCCATTCCGAATCCCGCCGAGTGTCCTAGTATCCGGGGATTGCCGAACCCCAAGGAGCCTCGCCGAGTATTCTTGAGCCAAACCGCCAAAGAATCTCGCTAACTACACCTTGGTTTTGAGATGAGCATCGATGTATGTGTCTGTCGGGTGCAGGACTGCATCCGCATTGGTTGTTCGTCTTCGGGTTGGCATGATCGAAATGATTTCGCAGTTTATGCCTGTTGCAAGCAGGCATTTACCGGCCGAAGCCCAGCCTACATCACTATTACCGGAGCCATTGTGCACCAGCCGCGCGCTTACGTCGTGTAAGCGTTGCGTGGCAAAACGTATGCAGTATTTGTTGTGGTGTACCCGCCGCATGCTCAAATTTCGTCAGGTTCCTGCCCTGGGACATTGCAAACATCCTCACGATGGCGCAACACCGAGTTCGGAGTCATCTTACTTACAAACCCCGATGACTGTGCCTACAGTTGTGTTTGAAGCGTCTGCGCGCTGGCCTGGACATGCATTTCACCATGTCCGACAGAGTGTCTGCAACTTGAGACTTGAGACCAGTTGTTTAGGGAGGGTCGTATAGGACACTTCTCTACAGCTACGGCCCCTGGTGTTGGTCCGGTATACAAAAGCGGCACCCCATCATTCCCATCATGGAGAACCACTCATACTTGTTCCTCTTTGAGGCCGTGTGGCCGGCCCCTGTAGCCACGATCTTCCTCCATCTCGCCGCGGACTGCATCGGCGAACACCGCCCAAGTTTCAAGCAGGTGCTGTCCCGGTGGTTACTCGGAAACGTTTAGAATATTTCGGTGTCAAGCTTCTTGGCACCGTTTTTCTGTGCGTCACGTGCCTTCAGAACCCTGAAGAAGACATGACTATGTAGCTCAACCCATTCCTGCCGCATGATCACACAAGCATCCTGATTCAGCCCAGCCTGCCTCTAGGCCGTAACGTCCTGCCGGTGTGGCTAGCTACACCGATGCGGTTGACGACTGCTTCCTGAAGCTTGGGTTTCTACATCTGCAAGGCAGGGGTAGGTACGACAGCTGAGGCCCGATGGTTATCAGGCCGCCGTCTCTTGGGGTTTGGAGATGCTGGATCTACAGTTTATCATGTCACTGCAACAGCTGCCACATGTTAGACGCTGAGGGGCATGGCCTGAGCAGAAGCTTCAGCATGTGTTGATGCCTAGTGCCATTAGCGCCATGTGACAGGATTGACAGCTGGTGGTGTTTCAACACGGGCTATTGCATGAAGATCGTCCGGCTTTCTTGCCGCTGCTCGTTCGCAGTCTTATTACCTGCATCTAATAAGCAATTCTGCGCACTAGCCTCGAGCGTTTGCTACTGTTATTCCCTCAATCTTGAATTTCAGCTTGGCAGGAAGACGAATAATGGCCATACAGCACTTCTGCTTTCCTATGCGGCCTGCTGGTATGTACCCGTCCTCCCAGCCTCCTGGGGTTCAAGAACTAGAGCTTTACAGGACGGTTTTTGTCGCAGAAAGTGGAGCTGGTCATGAGTGTCGGATTCATGTTACAAGGTTGCATGTTCAGCACGTAGGGTTTGAGATTGGGCCTGCATTTTCGTGGAACTTGCAGTGCTGCGACTTCTCATTCCAGGGTATCCGTGAGTGCCTTTCAAGCACAGTCAGGAATGGAAGCACAGACTTTCTCAGCTTGTCCTCTCAGCTTGTCCTCATGACCAGTTGAGAGCGGCATGTGCCCAGTGCATGAGAAGTCCCAGCTATAAGCCGGCAGGTGACGAGCTGCGTGCTTCCTCGCATCACGCTTTGCTGCGTACAATTCTCCGTAAAGAGGCGTGACGTGTGCATCAGTATCGAACCAGCTGATTGCTTGTTCAGTAGAGCTCTGGGCTGCGAAGATCCGGGAACCTAAACCTGAAATCTTGCAAACCCTGAAAGCCGTAAAACCCGAAGCATTCTGAAGGCCTTGAATGCCAACACACGTCCCTTAAAGCAACTTGAAGACCTTGAAAACCGTAAAAGCTCCAAACGAACCGTTGAGGCCGAAACAAATTGCTGGAGCTGTCCTAAGGGCTTGGACCTGTCATCGTGCTCAGACCGATTGAATTTCTGCAGCGGTGTGGCTCCAGCAAGTCAGGGAGCCACGGTATGCCCATACGCGAATGAAGCTGCCATGGTGCCTTGGCAGGGGGATGAGTCAGGAAGGAGTTAGACATTATGCATTAGCCGCGATTGGTTGTCGTTCTCAAGCTGAAAGGCTACATTGCCAGTCGTGTTATCTGCGATTTGCGACGCCGAAGCCAAGGTTGCGAAGTGTCTACAAACACTGGGACGATGCCACATGGGACCGATATAGCCTCCCGACTGGAGTCGGAGTGAAATCCTGCCGTTGAAGATGAACACCCAGGCTACAGTCACACCATGTCACACCGATGTGGCTTGCAGTGCACGTGATGTGGGGGAAAAGTTGGCTGGTGAAGAAACATTGCAGGTTGCCTCTGCGGCTGATTTGTTTCGGATCCTCTTAGCTGCGCGTCGCGCATGCAAGACCGTCCGCTGTTTGCTCTAAATGTGCATGCAAGGAAGACATGCAGTCATGCAGTTTCACAAGGGCCCCAATACTCAATACTCCGAAGGTCGGATCCGTGTTTGCTGCTGAGGCTACTTCGAGCTCGCAGTGCTGGTCTCCCTGCCATGGCTGGTCTGCGTGCTGATGAGCAGCCCGGTTCGAGTCTGCTAGCCACTGCGAGTTACCAACAATGATGTCATGCATGACAGCTCCGAGCCCTAATATGTCACCGTGAACAGCTGAATGGCCTCGTCTTCCAGCTGTCTGACTAACCACGAATGTTTCGATCTCTGATGCAACCTAAGCAGTTTCTCATAGACAATGTGATCCTGGGCAACTCGTCAGCGCGGACTAAATCCTGCCGAGGCTTCCTGTTCGCATCCACCTACCACAGCATGCCGTTGACAGTGCGGCTGGTTCAATACATGGAGAGGAAGGCAATAACGAGTGTCAAAGTGGGCTTCTTCTCTTCCCGCATCACAGTGCAAACTTTTTAAGGGCCGTCGCTCCGGTGAGGGTGGGAGGTAAAAACTAAGCTCGCGGAATGAGCGGGCTTGGCTTTGCATGCTTTGCGCAGTTCCGAGTTAGGATACACTTGGGGTTCACATGATGTCTGCTTGCAAAGAGATCTCAGCACTTCAAGGTGGGTGATCGCACTGACCTTGCTGACTGTGTGCATTTGGCATGCGCGGCACGACGCGCAGCACGGGGTGCAGGACTGAGGTCTTGAGTCTTGTGATCCTTCGGAGTGCGTCGATATCCTGGCCGGAAAGGAAACATTCACACGTCAACCTGTAACAGTCCCCGCTGGGAAGCTGCGGTCCTGCGTCAGGAGTGGCACACCGTGCTGCCGTTGTCCTGCATGGCTGGGGTGGTTGTGTCCTCCTGCCTTGGGCTCGTGGCTTACAAGAGTTGCTCGAAAGCATCGAGCCTGCGGATGACGCCTTCGCCCTTGAGGCAGTGAAAACCAGAGTTTCCTTCCAAAGTGCTGGGTTTTCGGTGCCTGTGACTTTTCTGAGCCCACACCCCCCAAAAAAGGCCGCACTGGCTCGAACTCCCAAAAAGTGCTTCAACTTTAACTGGTCAGCTCTGAGGCTTCTACTCACAGTACTGGCTCTACCGCTCGAGCCATTCCTATGTGAGCCAGGGCCTGGTTGGCAGTTCTTTACCCTTTTTCCCTGTTTTGAAGGGGCGGGGCTTTTTATGCACACGTATGGGGGTTTTGCAGCGTTCAGGACTAGGTTCAGGGGTTGGGATTTGGATTTGGTTTTTGGGAGTTTTAGCCAGCTTTGAGTCTTTGCTTTCCCAGGCCCTGCACAGCTTCCGTTTGCCCTGAAGGCCTGCTTGGGCCAAGGTGGATTTTGCTTGCTGCTTCAGTGCGAGGGCCTCTTTGAGAGTCCCTGTTACGACCTCTACTTGCAGTCCCTGGGGTTGGAGCCTCTGAGGAACGTGCTTCCCTCGGAGCCCGCTGCGGGCTACCTGGATGCCGGGTCGCTTGGCTTTACCTGCCGACTCCTCGGGTGAACCCATGCTCCGCCTAAGCTCGCGGCGCCCATCATCCTAAACGACCTAGAACTCCAAAACGCAAGGTGTTTCGTGCATCCCGGCAACAACGTAGAACCGCAACCCCTGAAGTCCTTGATTGTCAGGAAGCTCGTGTTTGCGGATGAGGCTCGCGTCGATGCAAAACGAGGCCTGCATGTAGGGGGATATGGCAGCTTCGAATGACATCCTCAACGGCAGCCGGCTCTACCCGACTCTACATTATGCTGCAAAAGCCGACGCATGTCATTCCTCCGTGGGAGAACACAACATCACCCACGTCGGCGAAATGCGCCACTTAAGCCTTCCGCCCGAAAAGAGCAAAGCTCTACTCCCATAATTCACCCTATTGTTTTTTGGGGCGAGGCCTTGGTTTCAAGGACAGGTCGGTGTGCCTCGGCTCCGACTAGCATCGATGGTGCCTGGCTGCAGGGTTGCTCGTAAGTTTGCCTGACAATTGGAGGAATGTTCCGGACATGCAGACCGCAGAGATGTATATACCGTATTACTTACCGTATTACTGTATACAGTTCTTTGCGTGGGCGAGCACCCAAGAAGAGCTGAGGTATTGTGTCGCACCGATCATCGACGACTCGAAGCCTGAGAAGATCCAGTTCTGGGCCGCAGGGCAGGCATGGGGACACGGTCATTAAGGATTTCGGCATCAACTGCAGGTTGAGGGTGACGGCTCCAATCCGAACATGTGGAGTTGACAGATTGCGGAGACTTGAGCTTCACTGTCTCAACTGTGCAGGCGTCTTCGATGTGTGTTCTTTGCGTCGTCAGGCAGATGAAACGTAACTCAACAGACCTTATAAACACCGAACACCTCAAAACAAAAGCAAGCCAAAGTCCCTAAAACAGCCCCGGATAGTTGCAGCTATAGTGTGATTTGGGTTTATGCAACCTGACGATGAGACCAACGCAGCGGCCTGGATCCAACGCGTCCGTACCACGTTTGCCAGGACTGCTGCAGCGCTCGGGGAGATTTCGAGTGCGACGACGCCTGGGACAGGAGCTCGATTCGGAGTCCTTGCAACCGCTCAGTGCGCGCCTGCCTGGCAACGGAGCCAACGTCCCAACCAGACTTCGTGTAAGCTCCAGGAAAGCGCACGCCGGCGTCGTCGTGCGACGGGCAGCACCAGAGTGCCTTTGATGACCTTTCGAAAATGTTGCAATGCCAACATCACAGGCTCCCTTGCAGTGAAAGCTGTCAGTCTCCGTGAGCTTGAGGTACCTGCAGGCAGTGAAGCAGGCAAAGGCGGTCTACCGCCTTTCCAGTCCGGCAGAGCCCATCTTCGTGCAGTGGGTGGTGGACCCGGAGAAGGCCGCCGCGGCTGTGTGAAGGGCTCCTTTCTTACCTTTGGTTAGTAGGGAATGGAGGAATGGGGTACACTTTCTGCTCTTACTACCATTCTTCCATTCCCTACAAGCCGAAGGGAAGTTTTGGGAAGACCTTGTGCCTGTGCGCCTTGGAAAGGTGGAACTCAACTATTGGCTGCTGGGGAACGGAGTCCTGATCGGCTCCTGTCTGGTCTTCCTGGTGCTGTCTGGTGTGGTGAACCTCGGCTTTATTGGCTAGATTTGGCTAGGTGTGTGTCTTGGAGGCATATAGGGGTGGCAAGGTTATTGTGTCGAGCATCTCCGAAGACCTGTGCTCCGAGTGCGATTTTGTTTGATTCTCACGATCTGTGGCAACTAAAGGCCGGGCAGGTGGTGCTCGTGATATGATGATCCATTTTTTTTCGAGCAGACGTCACTGCTCATGATGCTCAGCAATGCCAGTGAGATTGCTGAAGGCAACAGCGGCTGCTGCTCCTGATGACGAGGATGATGACCATCACAACATCATCATCATCATCGGTGTTGGCAACGTGGGTCAGCTGATGCTTACATAGCTCCGTGCCCGTGGACGCAGTAGCAACGCAGTAGCAAACTGGGCGAGGTTGATGGGAAGCGAAGCAGCCGATGCAGGTTGGACTGCTGCAAAGTCTGGCTGCTTCTCATGATGCTCGGCAGCTGATGCTCATGATGCTCGGGGTTGTCTTCGGGTTCGCTGGAACCTTTGGCAGCTGATGCTCATGATGCTCGGGGTTGTTTTCGCGTTTGCTGAAACCTTTGTCATGATGCTCGGGGTTGTTTTCGGGTTTGCTGGAACCTTTGGCAGCTGATGCTCATGATGCTCGGGGTTGTTTTCGGATTTGCTAGAACCTTTGGCAGCTGATGCTCATGATGCTCGGGGTTGTTTTCGCGTTTGCTGAAACCTTTGTCATGATGCTCGGGGTTGTTTTCGAGTTTGCTGGAGGCTGTGGCGGCTGATGCTCATGATGCTCGGGGTTGTCTTCGGGTTTGCTGGAACCTTTGGCAGCTGATGCTCATGATGCTCGGGGTTGTTTTCGCGTTTGCTGGAACCTTTGGCAGCTGATGCTCATGATGCTTGGGGTTGTTTTCGGGATTGGTGGAACCTTTGGCAGCTGATGCTCATGAAGCTCGGGGTTGTTTTCGGGTTTGCTGGAACCTTTGGCAGCTGATGCTCATGATGCTCGGGGTTGTTTTCGGATTTGCTAGAACCTTTGGCTGCTGATGCTCATGATGCTCGGGGTTGTTTTCGCGTTTGCTGAAACCTTTGTCATGATGCTCGGTGTTGTTTTCGAGTTTGCTGGAACCTTTGGCAGCTGATGCTCATGATGCTGTTTGCGGAAACCTTTGTCATGATGCTCGGGATTGTTTTCGGGTTTGCTGGAACCTTTGGCAGCTGATGCTCATGATGCTTGGGGTTGTTTTCCGGATTGGTGGAACCTTTGGCAGCTGATGCTCATGCAGCTCGGGGTTGTTATCGGGTTTGCTGGAACCTTTGGCAGCTGATGCTCATGATGCTTGGGGTTGTTTTCGGATTTGCTAGAACCTGTGGCGGCTGATGCTCATGATGCTCGGGGTTGTCTTCGGGTTTGCCAGCTGATGCTCATGATGCTCGGGGTTGTTTTCGCGTTTGGTGAAACCTTTGTCATGATGCTCGGGGTTGTCTTCGGGTTTGCTGGAACCTTTGGCAGCTGATGCTCATGAAGCTCGGGGTTGTTTTCGGGTTTGCTGGAATCTTTGGCAGCTGATGCTCATGATGCTCCGGGTTGTTTTCGGATTTGCTGGAACCTTTGGCAGCTGATGCTCATGATGCTCGGGGTTGTTTTCGCGTTTGCTGAAACCTTTGTCATGATGCTCGGGGTTGTTTTCGGGTTTGCTGGAACCTTTGGCAGCTGATGCTCATGAAGCTCGGGGTTGTTTTCGGGTTTGCTGGAACCTTTGGCAGCTGATGCTCATGATGCTCGGGGTTGTTTTCGGATTTGCTAGAACCTGTGGCGGCTGATGCTCATGATGCTCGGGGTTGTCTTCGGGTTTGCAGCTGATGCTCATGATGCTTGGGGTTGTTTTCGGGATTGGTGGAACCTTTGGCAGCTGATGCTCATGATGCTTGGGGTTGTTTTCGGGATTGGTGGAACCTTTGGCAGCTGATGCTCATGATGCTTGGGGTTGTTTTCGGGATTGGTGGAACCTTTGGCAGCTGATGCTCATGATGCTTGGGGTTGTTTTCGGGATTGGTGGAACCTTTGGCAGCTGATGCTCATGATGCTTGGGGTTGTTTTCGCGTTTGCTGAAACCTTTGTCATGATGCTCGGGATTGTTTTCGGGTTTGCTGGAACCTTTGGCAGCTGATGCTCATGATGCTCGGGGTTGGTTTCGGGATTGGTGGAACCTTTGGCAGCTGATGCTCATGAAGCTCGGGGTTGTTTTCGGGTTTGCTGGAACCTTTGGCAGCTGATGCTCATGATGCTCGGGGTTGTTTTCGGATTTGCTAGAACCTGTGGCGGCTGATGCTCATGATGCTCGGGGTTGTCTTCGGGTTTGCTGGAACCTTTGGTGGCTGATGCTCATGATGCTTGGGGTTGTTTGCGGGATTGGTGGAACCTTTGGCAGCTGATGCTCATGAAGCTCGGGGTTGTTTTCGGGTTTGCTGGAACCTTTGGCAGCTGATGCGCATGATGCTGGGGGTTGTTTTCGCGTTTGCTGAAACCTTTGTCATGATGCTCGGGGTTGTTTTCGAGTTTGCTGGAACCTTTGGCGGCTGATGCTCATGATGCTCGGGGTTGTCTTCGGGTTTGCTGGAACCTTTGGCAGCTGATGCTCATGATGCTCGGGGTTGTTTTCGGGTTTGCTGGAACCTTTGGCAGCTGATGCTCATGATGCTCAGGGTTGTATTCGGGATTGGTGGAACCTTTGGCAGCTGATGCTCATGATGCTCGGGGTTGTTTTCGCGTTTGCTGAAACCTTTGTCATGTTGCTCGGGGTTGTTTTCGGGTTTGCTGGAACCTTTGGCAGCTGATGCTCATGATGCTTGGGGTTGTTTCCGGGATTGGTGGAACCTTTGGTAGCTGATGCTCATGAAGCTAGGGGTTGTTTTCGGGTTTGCTGGAACCCTTGGCAGCTGATGCGCATGATGCTCGGGGCTGTTTTCGGGTTTGCTGGAACCTTTGGCAGCTGATGCTCATGATGCTCGGGGTCGTTTTCGGGTTTGCTGGAACCTTTGGCAGCTGATGCTCATGATGTTCGGGGTTGTTTTTGGGATTGCTGGGAACCTTTGGCAGCTGATGCTCATGATGCTCGGGGATTGTTTTCGGGTTTGCTGGAACCTTTGGCAGCTGATGCTCATGATGCTCGGGGTTGTTCTCGCGATTGGTTGAACCTTTGGCAGCTGATGCTCATGATGCTCGGGGTTGTTTTCGGGATTGCTGGAACCGTTGGCAGCTGATGCTCATGATGCTCGGGGTTGTATTCGGGATTGGTGGAACCTTTGGCAGCTGATGCTCATGAAGCTAGGGGTTGTTTTCGGATTTGCTAGAACCTTTGGCTGCTGATGCTCATGATGCTCGGGGTTGTTTTCGGGATTGCTGGAGCCTTTGGCAGCTGATGCTCATGATGCTCGGGGTTGTTTTCGGGATTGGTGGAACCTTTGGCAGCTGATGCTCATGATGCTCGGGGTTGTTTTCGGGATTGGTGGAACCTTTGGCAGCTGATGCTCATGAAGCTCGGGGTTGTTTTCGCGATTGGTGGAACCTTTGGCAGCTGATGCTCATGAAGCTCGGGGTTGTTTTCGCGATTGGTGGAACCTTTGGCAGCTGATGCTCATGATGCTCGGGGTTGTTTTCGGGATTGCTGGAATGCCTGGCAGCTGATGCTCCTAATTCTCGGTCTTGTTCTCAGGTCTGCTGCAAAGTCTGGTAGCTGGTGCTGACGTAATGCGCTGATCATGATCGGTTCGCTTTGGCTGATGCTCATGATGCTCGGCTGTTGCGTCGGATTCCTGTCGTCGGGCATGGTTCACGTTACCCTTGAAGGAACGTCATCCTCTTGCCCCTGGCAAAGCCGCCGGAGGCTCGAAGGTTTCCTGAAGCTTTGGGCCGAGGGGCGCAGTTTTCGAGGCCCTGCATCTGTCCGACTTTGGGAAAGAAGAGATGTCTTTCTCGTGGCAGGAGGTGCGCCAACCCGTGGTGAGGCCGCCGCGCCAGGCCGACAGGGAAGCAAATCTGAAGGGTTGGTTCTGAGGAATGGGGATGCAGCGATGCAGAAGATGTCATCTTGTGTCTACAGTCATGTCGGTAACGCATGTTCAAGACCAGCGCAGAACTTCGTCAGCGGCAGACTCATGCATCATTGGCAGTCTGCAGTGACATCGTTGGCTGCATAGTTGAGTTGCAGGTATGGTCCCCTAAACCATCAACAATGGCTTTCAGTGTTTGGAGTGGCTTGCATGACGAAGCGAGGCATGCTGCTGACACTCGGCCCGGCCGGTGTGCAAAACTGGGAGCCCTTTGGGGTGGGCTCTTGCTGGGACTAGCTCAGAGCAGGGTTGGGGGGCTGTCGCCGGGTGCGTCGAACTCCAGACCTGATTTAGGATTGCAGGGTGGTGTAGTCTTTGGCGCATTTTTTCCCGAATCCGTCTTGGTACGCTTGCGTGGATGGTCGGTGTATACGTGTGTAGGTGCGTTTATACAGAGATAATGTTCACTAATGTTCACTTGGGACGTACTCACTCAATCAAGTTTTTTTCACGGTTGTAGTCTCTGCGCCAGCCTCGAGTCGTTCTGCCAAGAGCCTTTCGGGCTATTGCTGCAACCCACTAGTAATTGCTGCAGCCAAGAACAAAGCATGGCGCACACATGTGGCAAAGCTTCCCCAAAAAGTCACGACACAGGCACAGGCGGGCTCTGGCCTGAACACAAGCATGCAGCATTGGTGGAATCGGACCTAAAGCTGTAGCTGCTAGGTCTCTAGGACTCCAGGACTAAATCAACGCGCGGCTTCGTTTGGCGCGCGGCTTCGTTTTTCATAAAGCAACCGTGAATGGCTCATTTTGAGTCTCAGCATTGCAGAACAGAAAGCTTGCGTGCACAGCCCTCCGCCCCGCAGTCAACAACATTGACCCCGCAAAACAGGCGCGAAAGTGCAGAAAAAGTCTTGTGTAGTGCTCGCTTCGGCGCCTTCCATGGCCGCCACGCTCAGACGACAGCATGCCCGATGCGAGGGTTCGGATCTGAGCTTCGGCCAAACGTGGTGACCTAAAGGCGCAGACAGCGAGACAGCGAAGGGACTTCCAGTCTTAGACCAGGCCCTTCGCGATCTCGACTCGGCCCTCACAGCGGCGACAAGGGTCAACGAGCAGAAGGCTGCGAGCTCGCGGAATTGAAGGGAAGGTCTTCGAGCCAGGTCGAGTCTTGAAGTGCGAAAGGCGTACCACTCTCAGTGTTTGGTGCCGGGTTGAGTTGCAACTTGTCGACTCGCTGCGACAGGGAGACACCCGAAAGGGGTTTGGCAACGCCTGCTGTTCGCAGGTTTCCTCGCTGCTGAATTCGCAGAACAGGCCATGCTCAAGCTTGCTTCTCGTTGCTTCTTGGGGTGAACAGGACAGACGTCCGTGATCTGATCGCAGTCGGTCAAGAAAGTTCCAGAGCCGGCCTCAAACCATCTTCACCTTCCTTATGCATTCATGTGTCCGTCTTGCGGCAGATTTCACGCACATTTTCGCCACATGCAGCGTTACACGACGACTGACCATTTGTTTACTACGACGGCATCCTTAATGTAGCCAATTGACATTCCGTGCCCTCTGCTGCCGTGTACGTCCAAACCCTTGAACTTCACACTCTGCAACCAAAGCCCTGAGTTCTGAAATCGTAAAGGGGTAGATCCTCTGCAGATGCCAAATTACCTGTACTATTTTGGGGGTTCCTTATGGCAAGTATAGTATAATGGCCCCCAAACCCTCCGCCTCTTGCCGGCCTCTTCCGGCGGAGGCTGCGCTGCGAGAACGCCGCGCTGAAGCGCTCCGAGGTCGAGCGCCGGAGCGCCTCCCACGGGCGAGGCGAAACCCTGAGAAGCCCTCGGCTCTCCTTTGAGAATCCCTAGTATATTGGGGTTTTGGGGCCCATTATACCATCATTATTATAAGGAACCCCCACAACAGCATTGGTAATCATTTAGTAATTTAGTAATTATAACAGTTTCATTGCTATACCGTGTGGCATGAAAGCACTTTTTGTCTCGGGCCGGGCTTTCAGAGGGTTTGTGGGGATTTGTATTCTGTTTGACCAGGGGCTGCCCTCGCCAAAGCAGAGAGGGAGCTCCTGGAGCAGGCAGTCAGCTCTCTGCTTCTTTGCTCGGTCGTTTCTGTTTGGTTGTTGGGTTAAGGACCGTTTAGGGTTAAGGGGGTTGAGGGTTTAGGGTTTAGGGGTTTAGGGGTTCAGGGTTGAGGGTGCAAGCAGGGAATCTTGGGGGAATTTACAGCTGGCTACTTGTGTGCTTGCTGCGCTTGGAAGTGGCCAAGTGGCCCTGCCGAGCAGCGAGCAAGACAAGAGCTCCTTTGATTTCGGCTCCAGCAGGCAGCTTGCAGCACAAAGTGCAGAAGCTTGTAGGCCGACGGGTGGCTTTGCACACGCAATGCTGCGCGCCGCTGGCCTGGCGTCCCTGCTGTCAGTATGTTCGGCATCGTCGAGCGACGCTGTGCTTTGGGGTGGAGCCACCGACATCGCAACCTGTGTGCTGGCATCACCGTTCATCCGCTCGATGTGCGATGGGACCCTTGATGCTCGTCACTTCGCGCAGTACATGATACAGGACATGAACTCATGTCAGATGTCTCGAAAGCTCGTGCTTATCGCAAGTGCTGATCTCCGCTCATCAAGAGTTAGTTGTGGCTCCTGATGCAGGACATTTCCTGCTACATGCCTGGTGCTACAGAAGTGCTTCTGTCGCTCTACCAGCGTTCCCTCAAAGAGCACGGTCCCCAGAGCAACTGGACCATGTTCTTCAAGGAGGCTCCCTCTTCGGTGCGGGGGCTTGTGTAACTTGCATTCTGCGCTGATTCCGTGCGATGTTGGCGGATGACCTGCGGGGCTGTCCCGCATTCTGCATAAGTATTGTGATGCGAAGACTCCGCGCTGCACCTAGGACCCCACACTCCGTAGTTGCCCACCCCTGCCGTCTGTACTGCTTGGTTTTGTGCGAGCGAATGGGAGACCCACGAGAACTACCGGGTCTATGGAGAAGCCGAAGCCAAAGGCTGGAATCTGGAGAAGGCCAGTGAGGGTTCGGGATTGGGCCATTGCTTGTCAGCTTCATACGCCAGAGTTGCGTCCTGACCTGGAGGTGGGCCCCAGCAAGGCATGCACGGCCTATGTCGCGACTGAGTTGCAGCTCACTGCCCACTGCCACCCCCTCTCTGCTCTTTGGGGAAAGCCAAAACTCCTTAAGCCCGGAAGACGATGCTATTGCTTCCCAAAGCTCGAGGAATTCCTCCGGCAGACGGCGGAGTCGGAATCCTTGGCACAGGCGGTGCCTTGGGCGCAATTTAGAATGTTGGGCCACGTTGAAACTACCAGCAAAAGCACACGATCCCTCATACTAGTATAGAGGCGTCGGAACAATTCGTAGCGCAGCCCCTGTATGTTTGAATTGTGATGGACGTCTGGCCCCTGCATATCTTGATATCTGCTCAAAGCCTGCGCTGGTGCGTTCGTTCGCTACGTAAAGCTACTTGCTGTATTGCTTCTTTACCACTGAAGGTTCTCTGTATCTGAGGAGAGTACGGTATCGGGGTCTGTGGGTTGAGCATGGGCCGAAGGATTCATACCCAATGTCCTGTAACGTCGTACAGCAGAGCTTAAAACAGATCGAGCAGTGTATGGGATGTGGAGTTGTTCAGCAGAGAGCCCAGCGAGGATGCAGTCAGCGCCCAGGTGATCGCCTTCGCCCCCTGCAGTGTGCTTTGGGACTGGCTAGCCGTGAGGATGAGGCGATGTGCAGTTCTGGGCAGCTCGGCTCAGTCGGCCGTGGAGACGGCTGTGGAGTGCAGGTTCTACATTGGTCGTCCAGTAAATCTCATAGTCAGGACGGCCATTTTGAACTGTCTAGCCTGGCGGCCTAGCCTGATCATGTTCTCCTGCGGAGTACGAAGTACAGTCAGTGAGGGCTGCAAAATCCGTGGGCCAGTAAACTTGACTAATCTGCTGATCTGCATGTCGGTATAAGTCCAGAGATGCAGCGGGGACTTCCATACACCCCAGCCTCTCAAGCTTGCTTCTGCAGGTAATGCCTACACCGACTGGATGAAGGCCCTTCCTCCCACGAATAAAAAGGCGGATTTCAATGCCTGGGATCCTCTGCTGCTCGGTGCAAAAGAGGACCATGAGACAATCATACCATGTCATACAAAGTAGGCTCTTTTTGTATGTGTTTTTTGTAGTTTTGGGGGTGTCGGGTAGGCTTCACAGAGCCCGTGAGCAGTGAAGCCCAGAATGTAGGTCGATCGTTCGATTGTTTCCAGCAGATTGCCTGCGGCAGCGCGTGCTTGATTGTTTCATAAAGCAGCATGGCGCGGGCAGCGCAGACTCTGCTTTTTCAAGATGTCATGTGCCAGGAAAGAACCACTACAGAGCAGATGTGCAGAATTGGTAGGTTTCGAATCATATCTGAAACCCTTTCTATTCCCTTCCCCTCTTTAGCACACGCCACGCTCCTGGAAGGCTTCAGGAGGCTTTGCAGCGAGACAGAGCACGGTCGCTGCACACTTTTCGCAGCTCGGTGAGTTTGCCTTCATGATCTGGTCAAACGTGTCAAACGTGTCACCGGATGGTGCTTCTCGAGCCTTCTTCCAGGCGCGGGGATGATTCAGGAGCTTGAGTTCTTCAACTCCGTTGTTGCTCGGATGCCCTTTAGGGGGGGAGCTTCGCTAGGTTCGCTTTAGAGCTCAGAAAGGTAAGGATCTGCGCCTCAAGAACCAAAGGCCAGGGTTGCAGCGTTTGTTCTGGAGATGTTTCGGCAGGTATGCGCATGTGCTACCTGCATCGCATGGCAGGCACAAATCCCTGCTTTAATAGGTATGGTGCGGCCTATGTCAGGGCAACCTCCGGGGGAGCCTGCAAGCGAGAGAATTGCTTGCCAAGGTTCCGGGTTTCAAGCCTGCGAACTCTTTCCAGTGCGAGGTGCCCCCAGAGCTTGCGAAAGGAGGCGCCTAACCGACACCTCAATGTTTCCTGCACTTACTGCGACTATGCATGCTGTATATGTTCTACGTAAGTGTATGCTGTTTTGCAGCGCTTGTACTGCAATGCATTATCTTGTATTGCAATGTACTGTATTGTATTGTCCTGTCCTGTTTTGTCTTGTCCTGTCTTGCTCGTTTGCTATTGTATTGTGACAAAATACACCGAGCCATACAGCAGCATGGTCGTACTGGATGATTAATTTTGCTGTTTGCATGCTTTTTGCGATTCGTTTCGTCGTGATGGTGACGATGGTCGTCATGACTCATCAGCGTTGTAGAGCCTTTGCTGATCATGGTTGTGCTTTGCTGGTGCCATCCTGAATCCGAAGAAGAACACCACGTACCACCTCAGGACCACGATAATCACCGCCACGACGACCACAACGGTTACTTCGACGACGACGACTACTACTACAACTGCTACTGCTACTGCTACTGCGACGAACACCACAGCCACCACCACCACCACCACCACCACCACCACCACCACCACCACCACCACCACCACCACCACCACCACCACCACCACCACCACCACCACCACCACCACCACCACCACCACCACCACCACCACCACCACCACCACCACCACCAAGACGACTGCTGCTGCTACTGCTTCTGCTGCTGCTGCTGCTGCTGCGATGTCAGACTTGTAAGGGTGGTCGGAATTGCTGTTGGTATAACGACTATGTGATCTTTATTGTCACGGGGTATGTGATAACTGCTGCAGTTGTTGCATCGAGCACCAGAGACAACCGCATCATCACTATCATCAGCAGCATCATCATCATCATCATCATCATCATCGTTATCTCCTTGTTTTTATCTGCATCACGATCGGCATCGATGCATGGAATTCTAGGGTGGCCGAATTTCCGAGAAAGGGAAAGGCAAGTCAGAGGCGGAGCCTTCGGAAGACCTTGCAGTCTGGGTTTTAGGGGCTTGGGGGGGGGTTTACAGGTTTGGGTTGCGGGTTTGGGGGTTTAGGCCCTTCAGTCGGGCTTTCACGAGACCTGCCTAGCAATGCCACAAGTTGGGCTGTTGGAAGGCAATTGCAGCGACCTTTCTTGGGGCTGCTCGAGTCTCCAGGTATCACGGACCCGCAATCCGAATCTCATCGGGCAAACTTGAAAGGCCACTGAAAGGCTTCAGAAGGATTCTTGGACTGGGTTGTCCGTATTCGGATATCATGCCTCAACATGGTTTTCGTGAACTTGATCTCGCCAGGGGAACGCGATGAAGAGCGCAAGGTGCCCTACCAGTCGGGTTTGGTCCCAAAGCATTCGGAGGATCCCCGAATAGGCTCTGTTTCGAAAAGTCTGTCTCGTTGCAATATGAATGGTGTGCCGCTTGGATCGTCAGACTTGCGGCCAATGCCTCAAGCACTCGTTTCAGCAAAATTTAGCATTGCTGGGGCTTTCTTACCGGGGGTATCTTATCTAGCTCCCCACGGTTCGACTGTCACTGAATGCACTGTTCATTGACGGCTTACATTTCCCAGCTGCTCTCCTCTCATCAGAAAATTGAATCCTCAGAAAAACTTTCGCCTGAACTCAAAGAATCACAGTGAAATCCCAAAGCTGAATCCCGGAACTTAAACCCTCACCCGAAACCCCGAGCCCCAAACCGTGCGCCCAAAAAGACCCCAAACCCCAAAACCCGAAGCTAAGCCAGCCAAGCTCATCACTGTCCCAGGGCGACACCATCCTTACGTGCTGCGGGCTGGGGGCCATGTTCCTCGCCGTGCTCGAGCGATGCTTCTGTCACCGCAAACCCCTCCCACCGCTGGAGAAGCCTCTTATCTGAGAGTCCGGGAAGGGAGGTACGGATGAAGAACTGGGGGGTTTTAGGGTCCGATGCGCCCGCAACGTCTCTGCCAGCTGTAAGCTTTTGTGGCTGCAGCCGCACCAGCCCCACAATGGGCGAGATGTGCCAAAGTGAGCAGAGATCGGGGCGGGGCCGTGAGCCTTCGAAGCAGATGCGATCCTCTGCTCCCCTGGACGGTCAATGGCCGCATGGATGTTGTCATGCCAGAAAAACAGACCTCTTGCAGCGATTCCTAGATTCCTACCTGCAGAAGAGCAGGCAGCGAAGATGTTAGGAAGTCTCCAACTCTCCCAGCATCCACCATTATCCTGCATAACAGGGCGAAGATGCCGCCTAGAAAGAGTCACGTGAGCATGCCATTGATGCTCAAGCCACGCAGAGTCCCTCGTGTGAGGACGCCATCCTACGCGCATTCTACAACTTCCTGGGCAAGGAGCCTTTAGCTATCCGGCAGTCTTGGTTTGGGTTTTCGGGTTTAGAGTCTAGCGTTCATGGCTTATTTCAGCGATATTTTCAGCGGTTTCACGATGGTAGCTTTGATGTCGGAGTCGCGAGACATTGCAAGAGTATATAGCCGCGCTACTTATGTTTTCCACTTCTCTGTTGCCATTTGATGAATGCCCTTAATGTTGCTGAGAATGGCCAAGACGATGGGAGTTTCCAAGCTACCTCCCGACGGCAGGGCCCGTGTTAAGTGGGACAGAGATATTCGCATCGCCGAGAATGTTTGTGTTCATAAACTTGTAGTCATGGGATGTAATGGGATGTAATGAGGTTTAAGGTTTTGGGGGTTGAGGCCCGTAAATCCTGAACCTAAACCCTAAATGACCGTGCGGCAAGCTGTGAACTGTGAGAGTGTCGGCTCTGATCTTTGTCACTGACCGCATTTGCAACCCGTATCACGGCTAGTCCTTCCTCCATGACTTTACGAAGGTGTGACGTATTCTACGATTCTACGATCTGAGAATTGATTGTCCAAAGCTTCAACACCTTCCCTCGGCTGCCCTGCCGCCTCAGGCAACTCATCAGGAGCTCTTCTGGTCTCTTCCATTCCAAAGACAGAAGCCCAAACTCCGAACCCTTTAACCCGTGCCCGGAGCCCAACCAGCCCCCAAACAATTCCCAGACACCCCGAGCTCCAAACACCAAAGCACTCCACATCATCACACGCGTGCAACAGCGGCACTCATGGCCCCCTGCTGCGATGAATGCCAGCGACCTCCCCTGCCGGATCCTGCTGAGCGACACGCAGGTCCGGCAGGCCCAGGACCCGTGTTTCCTGCGTTCATGCAGGGGCTTGTCTTAAGGCTGATCGTCTCTGTGTGTCTCTGTCTGTGTGTGTGTGTGTCTCTTTGGGGCTTTGGGCTCAAGGGCTTGAGAGTGGTTTCTTGCGGTTGAGCTGGCCACGGCAGGTTCTGTTGTGTACTGGGTTACTAGGTCTGATCATCACGGCGCTTGGCGCTAGCACGGCAAGGCCGAACATGAAATGCAGATGATGAAAGCAGGGTCTGGCCATACCTTTGGTAAACCCTTTTTGAAGCTGAACAACTCCTAGCCTCGCAGCAAGATGATTGGAGACGTGTTTCTCCTGTTGCATGTGCTTTAGGAGTTTTTGTGGTGATTCTACAGTGTAAAATGAGCAAAAAAATGCGGCTTCGCCTTGAGACGTTGGGATTTGCTGCCTTCTGGTCCTAAATACGTCAACCTTGGAACCCTTCTGCATCTTTTTCGCAGGTCCTTGGAGACCGCGGCGAGGACTCCTTAGCCGGCTTTCAGCCTTACAAAGTTCGAGTGTCGTATCAATTCTCTGCCAGCCGGCCAATGTTTCAGGGCTGAGGGCCTGACTAGTCTTCTTCGCGCTTGGCCCCAACCGGAACCTTCAACCCTGCAGTACCCCCTTGTTCACAAGCCAAGCTGCAAGCGTGAGCTCAAACCACGAACCTCCACCCCGGCCGCTGATCTACAGCGTGCGAGATGGGGTGCAAACAAGGTTCAAACCTGGGCCCTACGTGCAGCCTCTTCAGATAATTGCTGCAAAGAGGTTTGAAGGGGTGAAATCCAGCGTAGTCGCGAGTAGTAACTCTTGCATGGTATTTGCTTGCTGGCTGTACTGTACAGTCTGTTTCACTTTTGGTGTTGCTCATGTTGGATTTTTGGACTTCCCGTTGCACTCTTGCATGTCTTGGACTGTCCGAACACCGTGTCTTTTCAGTTGTCACTGCCTTCGCAGAATGTGAGGCTCGGTCTCGAGCCACACTCCCGTGAGGAGAGCCTCAAGCGGCTGCGTATGGGCAGTGGTGCCAACATACAGCTGCTCCGAGGAGCCGCAGATGGGTTCAGTTGAAGGCTTGAGGTACGGCTTACAGCATCTGGGGCTGCGCAGTTTTCGAGTCTTAATGAGCTTCATAAATCTTAGGGCCTAAAGCCAGATGAAGGCCGACTTGTACCTATATCCCTGAGATATGAAGAAACCCCTTACAACCCCCCCCTTTGTGCCGAGTGCCTTTCCGAGCCGGGATTCTGGGGATCTTCAAGCCCTTGACTTAAATTTCGTTAGTAGGGAATGGAGGAATGGGGTACAACTATAACTACAATTACTACCATTCTTCCATTCCCTACTAACCAAAGGTAAGTTGAGTCCTGCAAGTCTCTTGCAGGGCCCTTGTTGCCTGCTGCGTTCCGGGCGAGAGACGAGCTCCTCGCTGCGGCTTCTCCGCAAAAGGGTCAACTCTAGCTTGGAGCGCATCTGTCTGTAGATTTGTGCATGTATGTCAGACACCGTATGTATATGGTTGTGCTGATGTACGCTTGCACGTCTGGTCTGCGTATGTAAATTCTTGTTGTGTGTACATATATGTATACACATGTACATATATTATGTATGTGTATGTGTATATATATATATATGTATATATATATATATACACATATATATATATATATATTTATTTATTTATTCACATATGTACGTGTGTGCATATGTATATATGTATATATATATATACATATATATATATACATATATATATATATATATATATATATGGTCACCCCCCCCCCCATGACAGACCATCCCCTTTAAAACATCGCTCCCAACGGCTTGTTCGTGTTTTTTCCGGAGTATCGAGTTTGAGCCCTCCGAACGTATCCCTGGAACCACCAAAAGACTGAGACCAGAAAGCAGCACGATAAGGCGCGCGGGTGTCCTACCAAGAAAGGAATTACAGAGCACACGTGTATGGATGAGGGTTGTGCTGACACACTACATAGTAAGCACTACACAGCAATCTTACTTGAGTCATATATAGAGCAGATTCCAGCATTTCTAAAATTTCCAAAATTTCCAAAATTCTCTCCCCTAACTTTCCAGATTTCCAAGATTTCCAAAATTTCCAAAATTTCTAAAATTTCCAAAATTTCCAAAATTTCCAAAATTTCCAAAATTTCTAAAATTTCCAAAATTTCCAAAATTTCCAAAATTTCCAAAATTTCCCGACCTAGTCGACAGGATTTTTCCAAAACATAAGGGCGGACTTTTTGGAAATTTTGGAAAGTTTGGAAAGTTTGGAAATTTTGGAAATTTTGGAAATCCGGAAAGTTAGGGGAGAGAATTTTGGAAATTTTGGAAATGCTGGAATCTGCTCTATATATGACTCAAGTAAGATTACTGTGTAGTGCTTTTAACACTAACGTTGACATGTATATTAATGCTTTCATTTCGAATATGCACATTACTAATTCTATTATTAACATTAATACTCCTACGCCTACCAATAGTCATATTCATATTGATATTAATGCCAATACTAACAGACACCTGCGTATATTAATGTCCGCAGATATACATACCACTATCTGAAAAGCAAATATATCAATGCATTCGTGTACTAACGTAGTATATTCGTATTTAATTTGTCATATACCCAGTTTCCAACGTGACAATATACTACTTGTTAACGTCTGATTATACTGTATTGATATGCTAACTTGCTAAGACACGAATACTGTAATATGCAAGTACACTGACACATGGCAATGGTATACTAACATATGGATATACCAAAAAAGTTGTTAGATAATATACGAATATGATAAATGAAGTAGCATACCAGGATACTCATACACTAATATGTTAATAATCGAAGATAATAGCACACCAATATACTAATGTACTCATGCACGAACGTACGCATGCATTAATATACTAAGAGCATACAAACATGCAGGTATACAAACATATTACTGTTCGAATACATTATAATGTGTTGGTATACTAAGCTGTTTATATAATCTATCAGTATACTAATATATCAAAACTAATTATAGTATTGATACGCATACTAGCACGTCCGCGAATATTACACTGATGTTAAATTCATCATTAAGACTGATTAAAACTGACATCGACATTGGCACTGGCATCAACACTAATTATCACTAAATATGCTAGTGTACTAATATACGAATACTGTAAAAGGCAAGTACACTGACATGTTCACATGCCATTATGCCAACATATTGATATACCTATAAGCTATTAGGGAAAATACGAATATAGTAAATGTAGTAATAGACCACTATAATAATATACTAATATACTACTACGTTAACATACGAATATCATGATACACCAATATACTAATGTACTCATGCACCAACGTACTAATATATTCGCGCAATCTTCAACTCTGCAAATATACTATTGTTCGAATACATTACTGTATTATTATATTAAGCTCAAAATGTACGAATCAATCAGTATATTCACATATCAAAACTATTTCTATTACTGATACTAATACCAGCACTTCTGTGAATAATAAACAGATACTAAAACCAGCATTCAGACTGATACTAATACTAACACGAGTACTATTACTGACATTGACATCGACACTGGCACTAACACCAGCACGAACATAATCACGAGTTCATATTTACTATTATTGATATGTATACTTTTATTCAATACTAATACTAATACTGATGCTAATACTAATACTAAATACCAATACCAATACTAGTACTAAAGCAATACCCATCCTAATATCAATACTACCACAAAACTATTACTCATATGAACACTGATACCAGGATTAGGACTACTACAAACAATGACAGCAGTACTAAGAATAGAACCAAGAACAATACATATTAATCCTAACACTAATACTAGTACTAATACTAGCTACTAATTCTAATACTCATACTCATACCAATACTAATGTCACCACTACTGCTGCTACTACTACTGCTACTACTACGACTACTACTACTACTACTACTACTACTACTACTACTACTACTACTACTAGTACACATACTTAATACTAAAACTAATACTGATACTCATACTAGTCACTAATACTAATACTAATACTCATTCTAATACTAATACAAATACCAATACTAATGCTACCACTACTACTGCTGTGCGACAACTATTGCTAGTACGACGACCACTACTATTAACATCAATACACATACTTAATGCTAATACTAAGAGTAATACTAATTCGAATACTATTACTCATACTAAACATCCTAATATCAATACTACCACAAAACTAATACTAATGCTAACACTGATACAAGAATTAAGATCTACAAACAGTAATAGTGGTACGAAGAGCAGAATTGAGATTAAGATTGGGACTAGGAGCGCTGCATGCGTGTGAAGAAATTTCCAAAAATTGCAAACCATCTAAAAGAACATTTTGGAATTGAGTTTGGGAGAAGTGTCTGTCGCCTATCCGTTGACAGATCCTGCCTGGGGACGCACGCCACCCTTCCCCTTCCCCACGACGGTCTGTCATGGGGGGGGGGGTGAGCATATATATATATATATATACATACATATGTATAGATATGTGTATATATTACGTATTGCATGGCAAATATCAGACGGAAGGCATTTGCACATTAGTGTAAGGCAGGCATTACATATGCCCGCCTGTGTCCTTTGCGTCTACATATGCACATAAGTCTCGGACCAAGACCCATGAGTTCCTGGCAAGATATTGCAAGGTTCAAAAGTTCGCGGCTACAGGGTTGCCGCAGTGGTGATGAGCCTTGCTGCGTGAATACGACGACGACAACAGCACCAGTAATGATCCAGAAAAAGACAAATGCTCGCGGCTGGTAGGGGCTAGAGTGATGCTCGTAGCAATGACAATGCTGGCTGCTAGCTATGGTAGTACTGGCAGTAACACCAGCAATAAAGCACGAATGCAAGCAACAGAGAGCTCGAAAGGTTTTCTGGGCGGACGACGGCGCCCGGCTGCGACGAGCGCTCTCCGGCGTTCTGGAGAAGGCTCTCTCTGTCTCGCTTTGGGCTTGAGAGTACATATCCCCTGTTCGGGTTTCGGATTTCGGGGTTTCAGCCCCGCACTTCGAAGTCGAAGCAGAAGCCGTGGCTGATCTTTTGCTGGAGGCTTTCGCGCCACGGCAGGCCAGACGCGGTGCAGCTGGGTTCGGGTTCAGCAGGGGGCTGATCGATTTTGGGCTTGTGCACTCAAGGTTGTACACTCGTAGGTTTTGAAGGTTTAGGGGCAGCTTGGACGAGCGATGATGCCCGGCGTGGGTCTTGGGTTGCTGCTAGACGTGCCCGAGCATACTACTTGTAAATTCTGATTGGCTGCTGTTGCAATGGCTGTCTGCGGGACACTCAGTGAAGCGAGAGTTCGGCCAAGATGCAAACTGATTCTGCCATCTGTCCATGCGATTTCAGGTGGCTGGGGCCGCCCCACCTTCTGCGGATCCTGCCGCGACGCGTGTGCTCGAGGAGGGGGATTTGGCTCGGGATCTGTTTCAGCTTGTGGTTGTGGCAAGGAGGGTGCAGTCTGGATTTTTGTACGTTCCGTGTGGGCGGTGCAGATTAAGGCCTGTTCGAAGCCACGGCTCGGCAAGCAGTAGCACCCAACAAGTTAGGTATGACGACCTAGGAGCGTGAAGCACTTGCCATAGCCAGCAAACAACATACTGAACCTGGCAATATATCTTGAGAAGTCACATGAGGTTTCTGATGGCCGTAGCGGCTGGAGCTCTGGCTGTTTCTTCCTGGTCTCTTGTCCTGCCAGGTGATGATCCCGGAAGTGGCGTGTCGGCACCTCATCGGTGCGCGGGGGGATCGCATCAAGCTCCTGAGAGAGGAGTCGGCCTGCGCCAGGGCCTAAGAATGGCAAAGCTTGGGCGGGATCCTGTGTGCTGCTTTTTTTTTTTTTTGTGTGTGTGTGTGTGTGTGTGTGTGTGTGTGTGCTTTTCATATATTTACATCTATACATGCATGCACAGACACATACACTTTTACACACACACACACACACACACCTGTCATTCTTATTACTATACTACACATACGTCGTGTGTGTACGCATGCATGTATGCATTTATGCATGTATGCATGCTTGTATGTGTCGAAGTATGCACGTATGTGTGCATGTATGTATCGAGGTATGCACGTATATGTGCAGGTCTGTATATGTTCCTGCTATGAGGACGTAAGCTTTGTAGGTGTACCTACATGTTGCTATCTGGCGATATGTTATGTTGGTGGTTATCAAGGTCTATCGATAAGTACCAGCACGCAACCTGGTAATCATTCAGGTAGACCCGATGCTGCATACGTAGTGTCGACCTGTTGCGACGATGCGCAGAACTGCTCTCTCTCTCTCTCTCTCTCTGTGGCTATTTGCTGAGGAGATCCATCTCTCCCCCGGGAATGTTGCCGGCATTGCCGCCCAGCGGCGTGTGAAATGCAACGGGCGTGAGGCCCAGTCGTTGGCAGCTGGGAGTTGGATGTATGTAGCCTGAAGCATGTGAATCGTTACGGCCAAAATCAAAATTATGATGACATCTATGCCAAACACTACTGTATAAACCCTGGTATTGTCATCGTAAGCGCACGGATGTTCGATGTGCCAGTTTGTGCCTGCAACATCCGTTTAGGTCTGTGTGTGTGTGGGCATGTGACCATACCCAGCCAGGATCGAGTGTAACGCACTGAAACGTGAGGGGCGAGCAGGCCAGCTGGCGTATGCGACAGTAAGACCGTAAGTAAGTGATATTGGACAGGTAACGACAGCAAGATGAATTATTGCATTCATGACTATCATTGTCTAACTCCCAGTGCATGTGAAACGTCCACCAGATTCACCTCACGGTGCCCCGTTAGGGCCACATTGAAAAGGTAAGATGAGCAAGAACGCCACATCGGCTGACGGAAGTAGCCTTTGTTCTACAGTGGTGTCATCTTTGTCATCCAGAAGCAAATCCAGTAACATCAAGTGTGACTCGGTATGATGGCAGTCAGGGATGTTATTCTCGCTCTTGCGGGGACAGTTACCGCCATTCTCCTTTTCCTCAACAGCAGGAAGTTCTCGCAAAGCAATGGCTTCTGACACTCCGAAGCCCTAAACTTAGGAGATGTGAGGTCGGTTGCCAGCCTCGTAGAGGCCGCCGCGCGCGTGCACGAGGCCTTCAGCAGTTCTCCCTCTTAGCAGCCATGGCTCTTTTGCTGTCACCTGGTGCTGCTGGTGCTCGTGCTGGTCTTGGTGTTGGTGTTGGTGTTGTTGGTGGTGGTAGCGGTCTATTGCTGCTGGCTGTTGTTATCATAGCTGCTGTATAACTCGATTCTGTTCTGCATGCTGGAACTCCGGAGTTGATGTGGGAAACAAAGTGCGTGTACTGTAACGGCGAGCTTGCAACCAGTAGCAGGAACCAGGCCAGGGGACTGGAACCAGAAATCCAGTAGGCAGCAAACACCTCGGGGAAGAGTGGTAGAGAGGGCACCAAGGGGTAAACGATGCAAATACGCTAAAGGCTTAAGGCAGATGCAAGCAGGACGCAGCACGAAGTACAAGCAGCCAGGTTTCCCTTCACAGGCCTGCGGTGGTTCCCCCTAGTACTGTTTGGTTTACGGTGGTGCCTTCATGGTTTTCGTTTCAGGCCCCACTGGTTCCCTTGGCGGTCTTCGGGAAACTGCCCTTTCTTGGTTTTCGTTGCAACCCTCACTCGGCAACGCTCTCTATCCAAGGCAAGCTTCTTAAGATTAGGTGACTGATAGTAGTTTTGGCTCTGACTCATGTATGCCTCGTAGTACAGGCATCCTGGAATCCTATCAGGGTACACAGGATGATGATCAACGATAAGCCATCCTGAGCTAGTGACCACGAGGTGTTGGTGGAGTTTGCGGAGATTGGGATCCTCTCGCTGAGATGCTTGGCTTCTTTCAGCTTCTCCAGGCTTGTGGTGTCATGACAGCAGGCAGAATAGCAATGTTCACCATGTTTTGTGTGCTGGCATCGCCGTCATCATACTCTTTTTGATCTCTGCCCTACCCTGTGCATTCAAGGGCATTTCGATCTCCAAGAGGTGCCAGTCGGCGAGCAAGAGGAGACCATGCAGAGATGAATAGCATCCTTGATGAGTGCCTATTGATGTGGCACTATGTGCTGCCAAAGTGTACATGAACGTTGGCGCATCGCATGTATAACCTTTTCGCGGCAACATCAGCAGTTGTGCTGCTGCTGCTGCTGCTGCTGCTGCGACGACGACGACGACGACTCCTACTCCTACTCCTACTCCTACTCCTACTCCTACTCCTACTCCTACTACTACTACTACTACTACTACTACTACTACTACTACTGCTACTGCTACTGCTACTGCTACTCCTACTCCTACTCCTACTCCTACTCCTACTCCTCCTACTCCTACTCCTATTCCTACTCCTACTCCTACTCCTACTACTCCTACTACTCCTACTCCTACTCCTACTCCTACTCCTACTCCTACTCCTACTCCTACTACTACTACTACTACTACTACTACTACTACTACTACTACTACTACTGCTGGCTGTAGCTTTTCATCCCTGAGCTGTCACACACCCTCCCGATGTGTCTGAGGCCTGAGACACCCGTGACCCGAACCAGGCCGATTCGCCAGAATCCCGCATTCTTTTTGAAACTGGCAAACTTGAAGGACCCGGCTGGGAACGGTTCGCGCCGCCCTTTGGGAGCAGGCAGTGTTGTTGCTGGATGTTGATTTGAACGCTGTCTTAGACTTGCCTCATTACGTGTCGCGCAATGCCTGTTTGATTTGAAGACAGCTGGCTCTGTCCCCTCCATAGATTGCGCGCGTGTCTCATCAGGGATGCTTGGAGGCAATGTCAGAGTCAGAATTTCACGTTCCAAGGATGTCGAGGTTCTGAGGTAGGAATAGAAGTATGAAAGTCTAGACGAGGCCCTCATGCCAGTGCCTCTCTGCACGAGAGTCTGGACCGAACCCTCTCGCAGCGCAGGCCGAAGGCCTTAGAGCCCAAAATCTTACAATCCGTATGCCCGATGCTGAAGCTGTCTGCGACCCGAGAACAGAACCTTGCTGTAAAACCAGTGGTGCACAATGGGAATCGGTTTCGCAGCATGGTTTGTTCGTTGTAGCGCGGGCTTTCCCGGCGGAGGCCTGGCTGGCATCGCGCCCCGCGAGGCATAGAGGGTGAAGTTCGGCTTGGGGAAGACCGAGCTTCAGACATGCGGGAAAGATCCGTTGTTGCTTCTTCTTAATCGACAGTCATTGCGACCTTCGTTTGCTATCATCGCTGTTGCAACGGTTTGCACCGTCACGTATGGTGAATGTCAGCGGCTAGTCCAACCGTTTCGAAGAGAGGCTTCGGCTAGAGGGCGAGCAGAGCAGACCACCCAAACAGGCGCCACCTTCTCCAGTAAGCGGGGTGAGGTCCGGTCGCAACCTCTCCTCACAATCTGCCCTCGACCGAAACTCTTTTCACGAAGTCGCCCCCTCTCGGAGGCACGCAATGCTCGGGTTGCTGTGCGGCAGCTGGTGGTGGCGGAGGACACAAGGGTTCGGCTCGGTCCCGATGCCTGTCACCTGTCTGGCGGCCCTGCAGAGCTCAAGGAGTGCGGCTGGTTGATCGGCAAGCGAGGGAATAAGATCCACAAGCTCCGGGCCGCTAGGCTTCAAGTGTTGTGAAAGATCTCCTAATTCTTAAATCTCAGAGTTCCAGAACTCCCAGACCTGAGAAACCTCTCAAGCCGAAAGAACTTCGATGCCAGTCAGCTTCTGGCTGTTGGACTAAGGAGCTTGCCTTAGTTGCCACCCGCGATGGTGACGAGGAGCCCAGCACTGCAAGCCCGAAGCCCCCCCAAACACTGCTGCACAGCCCGAAAAGCTCCGGCCCCTCGCTGGCACTCTACCTGCAATGTGTTTATCGGTCCCAGCGGAGCGCCTGGCCGTAAACCTGGCAGCTTCGCAGAGCGTGTCAGACTTTGTAATCCTGACACAGCCAACTCGTGAGGTATTGGTAGATTGGTAGGAGTCATTGCCCATTGCGGCTGTCTCGGCACCGCACTAGTAGCGACTTTTGCGACTGCAGCAGGAGCTGTGCCAAGACCGTCCTCGCTCGGTGGTCGAATCTCGGTGGAGCTTTCGGGTTTAGGGTGAAGGGTTTGGTGCTTGAAGATTTTGCGGCTAGGGCCAGGGGTTCAAGCTAAGCGATTCGAGTTCAGTATAAGACGGCTAAGATCCGCCAGTAGGCGAGCAACTCCCCAAGCGCTGGCAGATGAGGGATGGAGGTTGCCTCCTGCTACATCAGTGCTAGCCGTTGCCCCCTTTTCCCGTAACCCAAAGGAGATATTTGGGGCGACCATGTCAAAATGCCTCTGCGTACTGCAACTGATCGTGGATGACCTGGAGCTCTTTCCAGAGGCGGGAACGACCCACGGCCAAAAGCTACAGAAGTCAGGATAAGTCACCTAACGGTTTTCAATCGGATGTCAATGTGGGGTTGTGGTAGGAAAGTTTGCGAAACCTGCATACTCCACTCCAGTGGGCTCAGGCTGGAAAGCTGAATGATTAGAACGACGTTTTATTTTGGGGCAATGTGCAACCCGGTTACGCAGAGGTTGCGAAAGAACGCTGGAAGCGGCTACAGGTCGATGGATCCCCGCTCTTAAGCCATGAGCGCGGAACGGCCCGGATCTCTCCCTGACATCAGGTGGTCCCCACCACCAGCCTGCTCCTGCCAAAGAACCTGGCCCCCTTCGCCCCCATCGGCTTTGACGAGGTGTGGCAAGAAGAAGAGGAAGATTTCAGGAGAAACAGGACTAGCGCCGTAGAGTAGCTGAGCGGGACTTGCAAGAGAGCGCAGCACTGTCAGAGCCTGGAGTCTCAAAGTCCCGCTGGCAAGTTTTGATGCGAGCATATAGGGACGAGCCTTTCTGGCTCTGCAGAGACGAGTCGTTGGAGCTTGGCCTTGGCACCTCCGGCCGCGCGCGCGCGCGCGCGTACCTCTAAACTGCCAGCTGCCCCGTAGCCGAGGCAGCCAGACGAGCTGGCTGCAATGCATCGCTGCGCGAGACGCCGAGGTCTCGCGGCTTGAGAAGTGCAGGTTTGCCTGCCGAGGGTTCAGGAGCCCAGAGGGAGCTGATGTTGTGACTGTCATGTCGGGGCAGCTGCTGACATGAGAAATACTTCATCCTGGTGAGCAGTGGTTCAAGAGTACAAGGATCTCCTGACAGAAGATCAAGGCGTTGCCGCAATGTTCCTCTATTCTCCTGCCGTGAAGAAGGGCCGAGGTGCCTTGACGAAGTGTTTCAAAGATCAGTCCGAAGACTATTTCGAAGACCGGGCGGAGTTCCAAATCGAGAAAGTGGAGTTTCCAATGTTCTCCGGTAGCTTAACAAAGTATACCATCACAGCCGGTGAGGATGCCGCCTCCCCGAATGTCACAGTTCCCAATCCCGCATGGGGAATGCTGCCTCTGCTGTCTGAAAAGCTCGTGGGCTTTTTCGAAGCGCGAGGTGTGAAGGTCACCAAGACGATGGAGACGAAACGTTTCCACACGAAGCTAGACTTTGTCATTCGGAAGCCTTCAGGAGTTGTTGCGCTCACGGTTACAAAGATGGATTACCAAAAGATTGCCGGGAAGAAGCATGTCAAGAACAAGAGGAAGCGAGAAGAGTTTGAGTCTAGTGGCTTCTCCGAAGAAGAGCCCGAGGAAAAGCAAACCTGGAGTGTCCCAGGCTTGGAGAAGATCAATTCCAGGGCAGAACTGGCGACTATAGCACTGGACATCGAAGATGTTGTTGCAGATGAAGTGAAAAACATGTTGACGATCACCTTCAAGCATCCCTTGCGGGCTTTTCACCAGCAGTCTATCAGCAAGGATGGCGAGATTACGTACGTGGAAGTGGAGGAGACCAAAGGGACGGACGCGGATTCGGCAGCAAGCTCGGAGCCACCAAAGCCGGTGCTTGGACAAGAACTGGTTCAGATTGCTCCAAGCACAATGAAGATGCATCTCTACTTCTTGGGGGACTGGAACGACACAGATGCCTTCGGTGGTGAAGGCCCGGGCAAAGCCTGTATGAAAGAGTTAAGCTGGTACCTGGACATGCTGAAGAAAATCCAATCCACGATCGACAAGAAGCGCGAGGTTGTGGCAAGTTTCCAGCAGCGGCGGGACGAGAGGAAAGGCACGAAGTTCTGCGATCTTCCTGCGGACAGTCATGCCAGGAAAGCCGTTGAGGAGTTCGACTTGGATATCACAAAGGAAACTGGGCACTGGGACCCTTCGGTGTTGGAAGAAGAGTGGAAAGCCTGGTATGACTTGCGAAAGCAAGCTGAGTCGCATTGCAGTCAGCTGTTTCGAGAGGGTTGTGAAGGGGAAGGGGATGAGGAGAAGGACGAGGAAGAGGAGTCTTATGATGACGGCCACGATGAAGACTACTATCAGTCGACTGGATTTCAACTGAAGATGTTGAAGGACTTGCGGAGGGCATACTGCAATTCACTGAAACATGCGGGACTCGGCGCTGCCAAAGCGGAAGCTGCAGCTAGAGGCCTCTTCCTGCAAAGTGTCCACGTGAGCGAGGATGGTGGCATCCAGCCCCGTACGGTTGATGTGAATGTTCGCATTTTCAGCACTGTTGGCCAAGCCAAGCTGGTCAATGTCGAACACGAGCATCATGCTCGAGCACGTTCGAGTTTTTGTGAGGAGCACGCCTACATCAAAGCGCAGGTTCATGCGGTGGATCCTGAAACTTTGACCTTCCAGGTTATGGATGACCTTGCCGGCACAGTGGACGACATCACGCTCTTCCAGATGGAACGACATCCTGGCACAGGCAAGCGCTCCTACTCGCTGGCACTGGTCAAGGAGGCCCAAAAGCTCTCCGAAGCCATTCTGGGTCACCGTCGCGGGTCCTTCACTGCTTTCTACAGCTTCTACGTCTTTATGATGGCAGCTGGTGCTGACACACGGCCTTTCACTGATATGGATTACTGTGAGTTTTGTCCACTGAGCTACCTAGAGTCGAAGTTTCACCACAAGAAGTAGATGGGGTAGGGAGGGTTGCCAAGACATGTGCAATGTGAGCATTGTACATGTGGCCTATGTGCCTGTACATCGTGATGTGACGAGAGAGAAGAAGCGGTGCAGGCAAGGATACTCTAGATGTTCATTTTCGCTGCAGAAGCATGGTCGCCGTCTGCACTGGGTCAACTTGTCAACAACAGCATCGCACGGGACTATGCCAGTGTCACGCTGCAACTGACACGGACCCGCCCGTCGCTTGACCCCTTGAGCCCGCTTTGACCCATCGCCCAGCTGGCTTCTCCTTGAGCTACGTGGCGGGCCACGCGAGCGCATCGCCGGAGCGACCAAGGCCTGATGAGTAGTGCCTTTGAAACGAGAGGCGGCCTGATTTGCCCATTCCGGTCGCGACTATGGTTAGTCGGGTTCAAAGCTTTGCCAAGGGCTCGTTCATAGCCAGATAGACGCAACCTGTGCATGCGACGCAGGGGGTTGTACTGTATCCGACCAATCGCGAAACCGGAGGTTGCCTGCAGTGACCGTTTGGTAGGACCATCCCCAAAAAGGCCCCAAGGGCCCCGGCAATAGAACCATCGGCTGGCACGATGGCAGCAAATCGCAGAGGCTTTGAAGGAGATGGTGAGGTCTCGCTGAAAGCCAGAACCTTCCAAATTTCCTCAGAAGGTCGCGTCCGCTTCTGACGCACTGAGCATCTCAAGATATCGTAAACATGACCAGTAGTTTGCTTTTTGAGTTTGTCGTTTAAATGGTTGAGGAATTCTTGGTGCATGCTGACGCCCATCGAAGGCTCACGAAGCGGCTGAAGCTGCAGCCGCCGAGAGCTTCTTGGCCCGGGAGCAGCGAAAATATTCAAGTCAATTATGGCGAAGGGTTGAGACGACGATGATCAATCATTACCATGGCGACGACGCCAGCAGCAGCTTCAGCTGCAGCTGTTCCGCATCCATGATCACGACCCCACGACTGCCACTACCACTGCGACTAGGACTACTAGGACGGCGACGACGACGACTATTGCTGCTGTTACGACTACTGCAGCTACGACTGCGCCTGCCACTGAGACTGCGACTACAATGACGACACCACTACTCTACTACTCCTACCAAGCAAAGCAGGCCTGTGGAGCTGAGGAGATGAGGGAGCCGCCGACAAAACAGGGGCCGGGAGGATTGGAGGCGCGTGGCGGTGAGAGGGGCGCATGCCTTTGTTGGGGCTTAGAGAAAGGTTCGAACTGGGCTGCGATTCTAGTTTGTCTCATTGCATTCTCACTCACCACTCTTACTGTAACAGACCTCCGAGGTTAACGAGGCCTGAGAAGCTGTGTACACCTGGAGCTGCAGCCTGTTCCTTGTCCAGGCAGCAGCAGTCCGAAACAAGCGTCATCCGTGGCGGTCGCGGGGACGCGACTTGGGCCTGCTCGGAGTTGATGAAGTGGCATTTGACTTTGTTCTGCGGGGCATCTTCGATTCTTTAGAAGTTCGTGCGGCTTCGCGGTTTGTTTGGAGGTCCCAGCCCTTATCTCCACCATTCTCGTCATTTGCTCTTCCAAACTTCCAAACCAGGGCCCGTCCATTTTCCGGCACGCGACAGTTGCAAGATTTTCCCTCACCGGAAGGAGTTCTACTTTGGGACAGCTCCTCAACAGTCTTCATCTTCGACTGCGAACCTTACAGTGATAAGACAAGGCACTGAACTTGGTTCGGTGCTCAAGGACATGGTTTCGTACAGCATCCGAGGAGCTCTTACCAGGAAAACTCCTGAGCTACAGTAGATCCTAAACTCACCAAAACCCACCTGAAGCCACCAAAACCAACCTAAAGCCACCAAAACCAACCTAGAACCACCAAAACCAAACAAGAACCACCAAAACCAACCTAAAGCCACCAAAACCAACCTAAAGCCACCAAAACCAACCTAAAGCCACCAAAACCAACCTAAAGCCACCAAAACCAACCTAAAGCCTAAAGCCACCAAAACCAACCTAAAGCCACCAAAACCAACCTGGCAATTCTTACAGCAGATGGGCCTCAATCGCCCTGAGCTGCAGGGGCGATGCCGCTCCCGGCCAGGGCCTGCGAACCGATCCGAGGCCGGGGGTTTCGTTTTGGGCCCGGGACATATAGGGGCCTAGAGAAACACCAATACGATTATTTTGGGGGTTCCTTGTTATTACTATAGTATATGTATATATAGATATGTATAATGGGCCTCGAAACCTTATTTTGATTATTACGGCCCTGCATTAGGGTTCGGGTTTCGGGCTCGACGGGTTAGGACTTGGGGAAGGCTTCTGTGTAGGATGTGGGTTTGAGAGGTATCCGTATGAGATGATCATGCTTTGCGAACAGGTAATCGTGCGGTTGGTGTTTTGGAACAGTACGTTATTGGGTGTGTTACATGTATAAGGGTTGCGTAATGGAGAGTAGTGACTACTGACTTATCAGTTTTGAGGCTTTCGGGCTGCATTTGTAGCAGTGGTTTCGGGTTTAGGACTGGGTTTCGGGTTTAGGACTTGCGGTGCAAAGGGTGTCGATTCGAGCTTTATGCAGGGTTTGCGACCTTAAAGAGGGTGTGTGTGTTTTAGGGTTCGGACAGCATCATCCTGCTGCCCTCTTCGGGGATACTTGCACCCACTTTCCAGCATATACAACGCCACTACCATGTTCGAGTTGTGGGACTCATGGTTTTGGGGTAAGCAGGGTTGATGCAGCAGAATAGGCCTGCGCTGCGATTTACCTGATCAGACTTAGCCTCACTCAAGGCCAAGAAAGAGGTAGGTGCGAGAT